ATTGGTATCCATAATCAATAATAATGATTATGTAACGCAATCAGCAATTTGTACGATAGTAGAACTAGTATTCACGGTTTTTAGACATATTTTTTTACACTAATTGGTTGAAGCTTTTAATTTTTTCTGATTATGGATTCAATCTTGAACTACACATCTTGAAAGTAATTATCATTGCTGAGATCATCGTAAATCGGTTTTAAAAGATTTTAAAACATCAGTAGGTGAGGGAGAATAATCTTGAGTATAAGTATCGAGCTCTTCACTTGCGTCAACGCGCTGGTAAGAGTCCAATAACTCAAAAAGTAATCATCGGAACAACTTGAAATTTTCAGAGAACATTTTCAAGATACTACACTTAATGAAAATGCAAAAAAGTAAAAATCGATTTTTCAAAATTCCAAGTATCTCTAACCCCTTAATGTAGCGGTCTTTCAATTTGGCCGCCTTTTAATTCAGTGGACTTTCAATGTGACCGCTTTTTATTACGGCCGCTTCTTGTTACAGTGTATGGCCGCCTATATATAGTAATTATCTGTAACTTTTTTCAGACGATTTTTTCACAAGCGAATATCAATATTATGCAAACTTTGGGGGCTGGTGATGTGTTATTAGGTTTAGCTCTCTCGATTCCAACAGTTGCTCGTTACAAAATTAAATATACTGAGGCCATTACAAATAATAAAGGTTTGAGCATGCCCAGTACTCATTCAGATGCTCTTGCCTTAAGATCAAGGTAATAATAGTTATGAATAAAGTATTCTTTATTATTGATTACCACTTGTTTTAATAAATTTTAAACTTCTTGATATATTAACATAATTAAATCATAAAAATTTACCAAAAAAAAACTAAATTCCAATACCATCTATGTTAACAGATTGCATAGCATGTTGTATTTTATTATTGTAAATTACAAAAAAACTTCATTACTTTCAGTTTATCTGCAATATCATCTGATATTATTCTGGTAAATATGGCATTGGCTTTACCTGTTCTGGAACCTTTTACTCCAGCAAAAATTTCTCAACTTAGCCTGATCACATTATCATGTCTATATTGTGCAGTTTCAACTACAATTGCTTATAGCATTATTAATATGAGTGGTAGTACCCTGCCCAAAACACAGGTAATGATTTTATCTAAATTTTTAACTCTATATCAATATTACATCATTAACATATTATTAATATAACATCAATGATATTGTGATGTATACCATAATTAAAACTTAATTCTATATTTTAGACTACAAATGGTCCAGTAACACCAACAAAAGAAGATGAGCTAGATATGTTAGCTGTGAATGTTATGGAGAAATCACTAGAATTGTATAAAAATGTAGGAAATGTATTGAAAAATTCTACTAAGGGTGGAGGCCATGTAAGTTATTTAATTTGGTGGGTTCTGAAATGCTTTCATATTTATTTCATGTTTGTATTTTTCATATTCTGCTAGATATATCAAAACCATTTATTTCTGGGTGCTTGGATTAGTGTAGGCGGACTACAGAATGCGTTAGGTGCCAGTTCTAGTATATTACTTAAGGATGATAAAGGAAAAAGTCCTAGTAAAAATAGAGATTTACCTAGAGTCAATCTTGTTAAAGTGTAAGTGAATGATTAAATATTATCATTACTTTGTTTAAATTTTGTTTTTCTTTGAATAAATTATTAAATATTTTTAAATATAGCCAACAAGGCTTTGGGATACTAACTGCAGCATTGGCTAAGCAAACTTTGCCGCTATTAGCAGGACTGCTGCAAGACTTGCAACTTGAATCAGGACTTACTGATAGCTGTACAGAAATTACACCCGTACCTGCAGGCTTGGATGTATTAGGAAACTATTCAGGTTTATAAAACATTACTTTGTTATAAATAATATAGTGCAGGCCACCGTGAATAAAACCATGTTAGATGTTTTATGATATTTTTTATGGTTACAAAAGAGTTTGTAAAAAGAGGCTACTTTCGCATATTTTTAATGATATCTCACAAAGGTAGTAGCCTGTAGTTGCCATATTTGCTGCCAGATTTTACTGTCATCATAAATGAAGTAAGAAGCATGCTGAAAAGTAAATTATTGTATTATTTTTCGGAGTTAGATTAACCACTCACGATTAAATTTTTCTTCGTTTTTCTATAGAAATAAACATTTGAAATGATTTGACCTAAAATCCAGGTAGCCGGATCATTTATTTCTATACACATAGCAAAATATGCTTGATCATTCTCCGTAATATCCTTTAGTATGGCTTTTGAAGCACATATGCCCCAACCGCATTTTGGCCGCCTATCAATCGGGTTTCTTTTAAATTTAACTGCCTCAATTCGGCCGCCCTAAAAGGCACACAACAAACTGGTTGAGCACGGCCCTGTTTTTGAATATGTTGTAACATGAGGTAAGGGTTCCATTAAACCAAATTAATAGTGCAAATTATACACTTAAGTGCTTATACTATGAAGTGAGTTAATATTTTATAATCAGCTTCATAAAAACAACTCAGTAAACACCGGGCGGCGGTAGCAATCTGAAGTCCACATTGATTATACATGTGTGTCACAGCGCCGAAGGAATGCTTGTGGATTTCAGGTTGCTGCCGACGCTCACATCACACAGTGTTTACTGGGAAGTTATTCTTATAATGGATAATATGAAAGTAACTACCTAATTATTTCTTAGCACTTCAGAGAGTTATAATAATAATATGTTGAATTCAACCAATCAAATCATTGCATGGTAATTATAATTGAAAGTACTAAGAGCTCTCCCAATGGTTTTATTTGTCTCTTCTGTTTTTCTATTAACTTTAAGGTTCTACGCGCATTCTTGTTTATAATGTAAGAAAATAATAAAATAAATATTTTTTTAGCTCTCCAAAGAGTTATGAGAATTTTGCAAAGCGCTCCTATTTTGCAATTATTCACATATATCGCCACTGTGTCATACCGTAAAGCATGTGCTCTTAAAAGAGCTTCAAAACATCCATTAATGGGAGATGCATTGAGTCAAAGTGATTCTACAACGTATTATCAAGATCTCTCATTTTCAGAAGATAGTGATACAGAAGAAGGTATTTGTTGGTTTTAGTACTGCTTTTATTAAACTTTGATTAATTTTGTTTTAACTTGAAATGAAAATTAGAATTGCTATATATTTTTTTACATAATATTCTTCTTAATGATATAAAAAAAAAACATTTTCATAAACATTGAACTTGAAGATGACAGTGAGTCTTACCTGGGACTTTGGTTCAAAGAAACATTAGCTCCTGAAACAATAGAACCAGAGCCACCGGAAGTACCTCCAGAAACTGTGACAACAACTAGTAACAAAGGAAATAATTTTGTGTCTGATAGAGAAGAACCCCATGAGGTGAAATATTAATAAAAACATTTTCATATAAAATGCTTTTAGCCTATATATAATTAGGATATACTAATAATTTGATCAAAATTGAAATATTTTTCTTCTGCATTATTACCTAATAATATTAAATATAATTATTTACTAGTCATAGCAACTAGTTTTTTGTTTCTTCTTTTACTTACAGTTTTCTTATATTTTTGTAATTGCAGTACTTAGAACTGGCTACTGCTATTTTTAAATTCTTGGACTCCCATTTATCACTATGTACAATTCATAGTGCTTGTCAAGATGGTTATTTGGCTCATTATATTCAAACTGGATTAACAGAGCAGCAAATGTGTTTATTAGCTGCTATATTAAGAGATTTAGATAGAGATGCTGCTAAAAATTTAGGTATTTGTGTTAAAATGATTAAATTTGGTTATAATATTCAGTTACCTTATATTTAAATTCATTTTGTTTATGGATAATCTATTAAATATCTATATAAATTATAAATATAAATATAAATTTAATTAATTTTATAGATGCAATGATGGGTTATTGTGCTGTTTGGCAATCTGCCTGTATTAGTTTTTCCCAGTCTGTTGGTTGTTATGTTCATAATATGATTGCCAGCGGTTCCATTAATGAAGTACTTCAAATAGCTTTTTTGACAAATTTAGGGGTAAACCCTTGGTTACAAAGTAGTCCTTGGCCACTACAGGTAATATTATGATTCAACCCTATGCATGCTAGTTTGAAAACAGAAAGATAATCTTATATTATTTTATATAATAATTGATTTTGATATTGAATATTGAGTCCGAACTATCCGTGTTAAAAACATATTTTTAGAGATTAGTTCAGATAATTTGGCATAAATATTAAAATAATTTACAGCTGAAATAAATTTAAGTGTTCTTCTTAATTTTTGTTATACACAAGTTAGAATCGATTTGGCTTTTCTTTACTTAATCCATAACATAGTCCTGGAAATAGCATGAATGAATTATTAGAGTAAAATTTTTATATTTTTATACATTTTGTTACATGGTTATATTCATATCAAATTACAATTATATTTATATTAATTTTTTTAACATTTTTGTTTACGTGAAAGTTTACCTAGATCTGAGAATGATATGAATTATTGTCTTAGGTATATTCACATACTTTAGCTGTTTTGGCCCAAGTTATATTATTGAAACCTCAGCAAGAAAAGGAATCTGCGTGTATTCAACTTTGGTCGAGATTAATCAACACACTTGTGGATAGCATCTGCAATTCGGGTGACAACTCGGAGGATGGAGATGGTATAATATAAGAATCAATTTTTATATCATAGCTAACTTGTGACTAATGCTTTTGTCAAGTCATTTAACAACTTGTTAACCGCAAGTTTTGCAATTTTGCCAAATTGAATTCCATTGGTTATAATCATGGTTTACATTCTATGTGACACTGTTAAATTAGAACTCTGAATACATAGGCAGTTCAATAAGGGTGAAATAATACTATAAATTATTTTTTAGATATGAATATAGAACATGCACAACTTTTGCTGTTTCTATTTCATTCATTGAACCTCATGCAAAAAAAATCTTTACTGTTACAAACTGCTGGAGGGTTAATAAAATGTTCTGAAGTTTGTGTTGGTTTGGAAAATAACACAATGATGAATCAAAAAATTTTAAAGGATAATCAAATTTTGTTATTATCAAGATTTCTTCTTCTATTAGAATATTTGATGAAGCACTTGTATGATGCTCCAAAGCAATTACTGGAACAGGTTTGTTAGTAGTTTATTATTTCAATAGTTTCTTGAATATATATATATATATATATATATTTTGTAGAGTTTCGAACAAGAATCCAAAAATAATACAAAATAAAAAACAAGAAAAGTTTTTAAAAAAACAATTTCTTTATTTAATTATTTGTTTATTGTCGACGTTTCGGAACTAGGTACGTTCCATCTTCAGGACATCTGTCAAGAAACATGATCTTGATGAGATTTTAGCAAACAATATGTTTAGGAAAAGAAAATAGATTTTTCTTAAATAATGAATTAAATTGTAAAAAATATAATAATGTACAGAAATATGATAATATGTTCAAAATAAAAATGATAAAAATAAATGAGTGGATTATCAGAACAGGATATTAAACATAATAGAAATTTTTTGAAAGTTATGGAAATTTTTTTAAAGAAAAGGTTAATGACAAAGTTGAATTAATTACCTGTATGTTTGAATATTTGTTAGCACTTTTTCACTAAACAAGCTTTTTTAACAAAATGATTTTGTGAGTTAATTTTCCGCCGAATAATTAGATTTTGTAAATCAAAATTACTAAAAAATTTGTCTTTTTTTAAAATTATTATTTGAAAACACAAATAATATTATTCTCTGGATGTTGTTCGATTGGCTTTCGAAAATTAACTAAATGAAACTGGTGTGCCCTTTGTAACACGTGTAAACACTTGAACGAGAGATGTGAGATTGTATGTGTGTGTTTTTATATGTCAGGGTGTGAATACTTAAATTGTTGATCTTAAAAGGAAGTCGATATTAATTGTTTGTCGATATTAATTTTCAAACAATTAATATCGACTTCCTTTTAAGATCAACAATTTAAGTATTCACACCCTGACATATAAAAACACACACATACAATCTCACATCTCTCGTTCAAGTGTTTACACGTGTTACAAAGGGCACACCAGTTTCATTTAGTTAATTTTCGAAAGCCAATCGAACAACATCCAGAGAATAATATTATTTGTGTTTTCAAATAATAATTTTAAAAAAAGACAAATTTTTTAGTAATTTTGATTTACAAAATCTAATTATTCGGCGGAAAATTAACTCACAAAATCATTTTTGTTAAAAAAGCTTGTTTAGTGAAAAAGTGCTAACAAATATTCAAACATACAGGTAATTAATTCAACTTTGTCATTAACCTTTTCTTTAAAAAAATTTCCATAACTTTCAAAAAATTTCTATTATGTTTAATATCCTGTTCTGATAATCCACTCATTTATTTTTATCATTTTTATTTTGAACATATTATCATATTTCTGTACATTATTATATTTTTTACAATTTAATTCATTATTTAAGAAAAATCTATTTTCTTTTCCTAAACATATTGTTTGCTAAAATCTCATCAAGATCATGTTTCTTGACAGATGTCCTGAAGATGGAACGTACCTAGTTCCGAAACGTCGACAATAAACAAATAATTAAATAAAGAAATTGTTTTTTTAAAAACTTTTCTTGTTTTTTATTTTGTATTATTTTTGGATTCTTGTTCGAAACTCTACAAAATATACACAAATCCAAGACTCTACCATTCAAATATATATATATATATATATATATATATATATATATATATATATAACATAATTAATAAATTTTAGGTACATTGTAATTTATTTCAAATGGATAGAAAATCTTCAAAGAAATCTTCAAATATTAGATTTTCTCCCTGTGATGAAATTGAAGACAATTATAGAAAACTTGGTGGAATAGATGATTTGGGCGTTAGACCCAAATTTTATATACTGAGTAATGTTGAATATAGTAATCAAGACACTCCAAAACTTGATGGTTTAGCATGCAGCTTCATTCTGGGCAGTCCTGACAAACTACGATATGCTGATTTAATCGATTCACTTATCAAAATACTGAATGTTATTAATATGTGTTTTGAGAAAATGGGATATCAAACACTTGGACCTATTCAGTACTGCTTCTTCCTTTGTTGGAGGTAATTTTCACATTTCATATGAATTATATATATATATATATATATATATATATATATATATATATATATATATATAGTGACACCCCACGGCAGGTAAGCGGCTTGTTTGTTTCGTCATACGAGCAAAATTTGTGATACGAGCTGCTGACAAAAGAATAAAAATAATACCGAAAAAGATGGTGGAGCATTAGAGTTGTTGTACGAAACATGTCTAACTAATTCTCATAATATAAAAGGGAAGAAAAAAACAATGCTTATATTAGATAAACCCAAAAACTAATATATTGATAATTGAGTCATTTTTTATTTAGTAATTTGCTATATTTTTGCAGAATATGTATTTGATCTTAGTAATAAATGTTTCATTTATATTTATTGTTAATAAAAACACTATGCTGGATCGACTTAATGGCATTTTAATGTATTTATATGGAAAAAATTGCTTTGAGATACGAGAGATTCGACATAGGAGCGTGGTTATGGAATGAATTAAGCTCTTACGCTGCGTCTTGTATATATATATATATATATATATATATATATATATATATATATATAATATCTTTGTGGGTGTATTTATACATAGAATATTGCTACATTTTTGTTTTTGCCTTTTCTTACATTGCACAAGTTTTGATTTGTGGTTTAGGATATTTCAAATGTCTTAAGTTATACATAAAATGAATATTTCATATAAATTTTTTTTTAGGTTATTAGTGATTTTGCCACCTTCGATAGACCATATGAATTCTCAATGTACTGAAAATTTAGTAACAGGCTCAATGGCATTACATTCACTTCTGTGGATTCCACGTGCTGCTAATACAAAGGCATTTAGCAGATGGATGACTGATTCACTTGTTAAGCAGGTACTTCTATATATTTTCATATTAAATATTTTGTCATTTTATGAAAATATAAAGGAGAGTAGTTGTGCTTAATGAAATATGATAGTGTCGATATTTTACAATTTCTCGATATTTTTTGGAACTTTACATGTGCAAACTACTAAATTAATATATGCTAATTCACTATGATTATGCTTATTTCTTTGTAATATAACATTTATAGTAGAGGCCAATGTTAGACAAAAGCAAATAATTCATGGTATTTTATTTTATGAATGCTGATTAAAACTATATTTTTTAAAAATATGTTTAATATTCTAGGGAATGTATACACAAAATGCTGAAACTTTATTGAGAAGTGTAACAGAGAAAGTTCATAACCCAAAGTTTGATATTAATTTAACCATACATTGTATTAAGAAATTTAATGCTGATTTTAAAAATGGTACGTTTGTATTACAATATCGAATGCAAATTTGATGATTTTAAAAATTCTGTAATATTTTTTTAGGAGATATACCAAGATTGTTTGATATTGTGTTACTAGATGCTTTATTGTCCAAGTTGTTGTTAATATTTAGGGAAATTGTTAATGTGGAAACTAAAAACAGTCACTCAGAAAAGATAACTGATTTATCTTCACCAGAAACTATAAAAGCAACACAGAACTTAATGACAGAATTCATGCCACATCTTCTAGAATTTGTGAAGACCTGCATTTGGAGCATTAAGTAAGGATTCATACTCATTATCACAATTGTTATTATTTTTTATAAAAAATATTATTTTGCAGCAATATTATTACTGAAGATGTTTCTGAATCAGAGCATTTTAAATCAGCTGTGATGCCCCATTTGCTGCCTCTGTCATCTCAAAAGCACAATTTGACCACTGATTTGAGTGTTGCGCTTTGGTCTTTATTACCAGCACAGTTAAAAGCTGTCATTACAAAGCCAAGAAATTCAGATATATCAGATTTATCACCAGTATGTAACATTATTTCAAATTCTATGAATTGCATAAGATACCACTTCTGCCTTCTCTTTTTTTTTAAATATATATATATATATATATATATATATTTATGGATTGTCCTCTTCTTCAGGAGGCCTTCAGTTCATAAAAATTAAATGATAAATGATAATAGCAATCTAGAAAAACTTAACAGTTTGTTACCTAGGAACAATATGATAAATCATAATTTACGATGTTGCCCAACATATTTTTTGATCTTGCCAGCCAGATTTCACGTTTAAGCTCTCTATTCACAACGGCGGTATCCTCAACAAAATTTCTGTGTAAAACCGTTGCCTTGTTATATTAAACTGAAGCATTTTATTATCTTCTAATTATTATTATTTCATTTAATTCTTAGAAATATGAGATAAAATCATCTAATGGATTCATTCTAATCAGATATGATACATATGTGTTTGTTTACAATTCATACAATTCTCTGTATGTACACTTATAAGCATTAGTGTATTTTAGGCCTATAAAATATGAATTGTGAAATTTGCAATATATATTTATAATATTCTATTTGAAAATGCACAACATTACTATTAATCATAAAATAAATGAAAATCTGGCGCAAAATTCTTGCTCACCTTACTAGAAAACTTGATAGAAATCCTGTTACAAGGAATACTGGCGTCGTGTGCACCAGGCTTTATATACATATATATATATATATATATATATATATATATATATATATATATATATATATATATATATATTGTTTTATAGAATATAATTTTTTTCAGGGACTTTTTGATAATGACATTATTCCTTCGGAAAGCTTTGTATTATCGGTTATTAATGGACATGTGAATAATTTATCTGGACAATCTGCGTATTCAGTAACATCATCTCTTAAAAAATTGTTTAAGACTGCTGTAGAGTTATTCAATGACCATGTGAATGCTGTTCTTGATAGTTCCATAAAAAATTCAGCAGTAGATGTATTTGTTGCCCTTTTATTAGATGCCAGAGCTGAATATATTTTTAGCACCACAAAAAATATTGTTGACAAACTAATTGGTGACGAAAATACTGAATTGCATCAATTAAAAGTATATATGCAAGTACTTAATCATAGTTATAGATTAATAACTGAATACTCTTTTGTAAATATGGGAAACGAACTAATGGAATTGGATGAGAAAGTCCTTCACAGTATTTTTAAATTTTGGGAAAAAATGTTGGATAAACAAATGGGCCAAAATGCACTATATCAATTTTTCTGGATTGCGAATGAGGGAAGTCTTGTTCAAGTGTTATTATCTATTGGAACATTTTCAAGAACTCAGGGATATTCTACAAAAGTACTACATTTTTTCAATAAATTATTTCAAGTTTCTGAAAAGTCAGAAAAAGATTCAAATTTGGAACAGTTGTGTAGCAGTATTGATGATTTGGTTTCTGTAGATGAAGATCATTTGCAAGGGTGGCTGAGTCAGATTTTACTTGGTACCCGTGAACATCAAAGATCCGCAAGTGTTAGTTCCAGTAACGTTCCCACACCAACAAATGCTACAAATAAGTAAGTTTTACTGAACTTTTTATAAAATTTAATATATTTAATATTTATTACTTTTATTCGAAAAATGATTTTTTACTGACAAATTTATGATTTACTAAAAAAGATGAATTACTATTCATACATAACTTCTTAATAGCTATAAACAAATTGATTTCATTTTTTTTCCTCAAGTACTCCTCCGTCCAATGAGAAAGAATCTACTCCTAAGCCAGATAATACAAGCACATCTGATGCTCAAGCCACTGGACATATTACAACAGCTGCTGAGCAGCAAAATAATACTTCAACTGGTTCAAGTATTGATGCTGCCAATGCTGAAGTAACTACAACTGCTGATAATTTGTGGGTTGTTGCTTCTGAACGATCTCCATTGCTTGATGATGGACATGTCAGAAGAAAAATAAAAGAGGATAAAAGTATCCTAGAGGAAAACGGACAGTTACTCCAAACACTCACTAATTATATTGTTACTGGAAATAAGTATGTATATATAAGTCTAATAGACAATTCCATGTTTTTAACTTTAGCAAGTTAGTCTAGAGCAGTGGTCGGGGAACTTTTGGAACCGTTACCTCAAAATGTTTTTGTGCAACCTCTCATTACCCCACAAAAAAAATTAACTAAAAGAGCCTACAATTGGAATCTGTTTGTAACATATTTCTGTAAAACCTGCCATAACCCGCAGATTAACGGTTTGCTACATTGTTTGTTACTTCTAAACTTTGAAAAAGGCTGAAACAAATAATTTGAAGATAACAATCAGTAAAAACTATATTCATTATGAATAAATATATTTTTCATGAAAATCCTACTAATACATGAATGAACTAGTAGTGCATTGTATCATGCGTTAAGGCATGCTGGAACTTTCCGCACCGTGACGAAATTTTTGAGGAATTTTAAATGTTTCCAATTAGATTATTATAAATACTGTAACATTGTATAATATTCATAAGATATATATAAGCTGAATTACAAAATTTAAAAAAATTATTTATTCGAAGTATATAAGTGAGCTTTAGAACTTTAGCCAGAATTAAAATTAAAATCTGAATTATTTTCGATATACAAAGAAAAATTTTTTGAAAAAAATATTGAAATATTTTTCTTTCCCAAAAGTAATTGTTTTGTCAACACAAACAGCAAGTTTTTTTAATCATTCGAATTGGATGCTTAGTTCTCTCAAAAACTGCCATTTTTGTACATTTAGCTCTGTATTTTCGAAATGGCTAGACATGCCTTTGCCAAAACCTAATCACTACTTCTCCCAATCATTACAAATTGAATGTTTTTTGGATCCTTCATATGGGATACTCGGCTCTCTTAAAAACTCGATTTCTATTTTCTGCACTCTTTACTCCGTATCTCCGGAACGGCTGGACCTGCCTTTGCCAAATACAAATCAGCATAGCTCCCTATCAATAGGAACCGAATGTTGAATGTGGTCGGGGATGAACCATTCAAATCGGTTCATCCGTGCGCTCGAAAACGTGAACGAAAAAATGCGGACACACAAAACACACTCAAACACACATCCATTTTTTTCTGAGGTATGGCAAAATGTTCAAAAACCTCTGAAACGCAAAAATTTTCATTTTCGATTTTCGGCCCATTCCCATAACTTACCCTACGAGAAGTTAACAATAATGCCACAAGTGACAACAAACATGCACACATGTAATGTAAGAACATTACGATGTGGAGAAATGGTATTGCTTCATCTTTGACACAATTTTTTCAAAGTTTCATGTCTCCTAAATATGCGAGATATGCTACCCAGGAAGAGTTTTTAAAAACTTTAGCAAACATATTTTTTTGAAAAACCATAGAGATTTCAGCTTCATTTTTAAGTGGCGAGAGAGCCACCTTACTTCTGTATAATAAAGAAGGTAAGTCTCAGCTTCACCATCCTGACATAATTCACAAAATAGCCGTGTATTTATTGCATGTCCCTTGATAAAATTTATAATCTTGATAACATCATGAGTGTGGGTTATTTTCGCTTACAAAAGCTGAAAAACCATAAATATGACCCATCATAGATGGAGCTTAATCCAAAGACACCAAATTGCAATTTTCCCATTTTAATCTTTGCGCTTCGAAGTATTCGTTTACTTTGTTAAAAATATCTATTTCACGACATCTGAACTCGAGAAGAAAACAAAACAGCAATTTCTTTTCAAAATTATCTGCACCTTTATAGCAAACATAGCAAGGCACAATATATACCATTTGTGAATTACTACTGAAATCCGTCGTCTCAAGCTGAATAGCAAAATATTTAGTTTTAATGCAAAAACTTCACATTTTTTGCTAATGCAGAGATTCTTTTCGGTAGTAGGTTTTACTGAAGCTGATTTAAACCAAGCAAGATATTTAACTTGTTTTAGTGCGAAAACTACTTATTCTTTCACATTTTCTGCTAATGCAGAAATTCTTTCCGATAGTAGGTTTTACTGAAGCTGATTTAGTGCTTTGCAAATATATACTTTTTACCCCCAAAAATTCCACTTTTACCCAATTTGGGGTAATTTACCCCGGTTCCCCGACCACTGGTCTAAAGGACTAGCATTGATTAGTTTTATATGTTGTTCAGCCAGATAATTTAATTATAAATAACAGAGTAGTGTATATAATATCGTCCACATTTTAACTCAAAATAAAATCATGAATTGATTTTAAAAATTCAAAATCTGTCCGAAAGGCATTACTTAGGAATCATGCTAATCGGTTTTTCGTAAAGATCGGCCGGGCCCCTTCATGATTGAAAAAAATTTTTTTTGGCGATTTTAATGAATGTTGTTATAGTATCTGGTGTAAATGAACAAACTAATATATTAGAAGCCTCTAAAAAGTGGTTTAATTATCAAAATTAATGGAACTTTAATTATCAAAGTTAATCAGGCGCACCAGTCAAAAATTGTAGTTTGTATTAGGGGGCGTCCATTAATCACGTGAGCGAGTTTTTAAGAATTATTGGACCCCCCCTCCCCCTTGGTGATACATAGTGATATTCAAAATTACCCCCCCTCCCCCACCAAACATTACGTGTATTTTTAGTTATGTGATAAATCTGTAACATTTTCGATTTTTTTTGAAACTGTTTTTTTTTTTTAAAATCAGTTAAAAATAAATACACGTGATATCTTACTATACCCCTCCCCCCACGACGTGATATTTCGTGATTTTTTGTCAAATCCTCCCTCCCCCTAAAAACCTCACGTGATTAATGGACGCCCCCTTAGGTGCATGTTTGTTTTTCAATAATGTGTAATACATTTTTTATACATAGTTTTATATATATTTTATAGTGCTTATAAATGTCTTATAAATTAATATATTGATTTTTTACTGATTGAGTCGATTATTTATACATGTCGGGAAGTTGCCTTGCACTATTTGACTATTTGGTAATAAATTTGTATTTCATTCGTTGAGGCGAGATATATTTATATATATATATATATATATATATATATATATATATATATCGCATATGAATTTTACTTATAATAAAATGCAACTCAACTCATACAGTAATAAATCTGATTTTAGAATTGTACCAGCTGTTTCACAAACTATTCTTCAATCATTGATTCCCCTTGGCTCACAAATATTATGTCCATTACAAGATTGTTTAGCTTTTCCTGATTTGATGAATATTATGACAACACTAGCAGATGCCAATCAAGGAAAAGGACATGCACTTTTATTTGCTGCAGTTACTGAATGGCTTGAGATATGGTGAGAATTTATATATTTTTTAATTAATTTTTAATTCCTTATTTTTAAACTATCATTATTAATTGTATGCTACTTTGTTTCTTTCAACAGTCATCAGTACTTAACACAAAAGGAAGTAATAGAAAAATTGGAAAGTGGGGTTTGTGGTAAGCACGAGTCTGTATTGGAATCAGCAACTTGTTTATTAAGATACCTGACTGATCTTTTACATGGACTTGGTTCATTAAGTAAGTATTTTTAACAAGCTGCGACAAGATGAAAATATATTTGATTTGTGAAGTATTTGCGAATTCGATGATTCATTTGACTTGCATATATATTTTGAATTTTCATACACAATGTTAAAATAAATAAATCTCTCCTTTTTATGTAAACTAATTTAACTTTTGAAACTTTACACTTATGTTCAGAAATTGAAACAGTTTGCATTACCATTTTAGCAAAATTTAAGTATTGTATCTTTTTTTTAAATTGAGTATCAAATTGACACTAAAGGCTTTTATCTATTGAATTATTTTTTCGAACTTTTTTTTTAATAATTCAATCATAGTTTGAGGTTAATTATTGATATTTCTGTTACATCATAATTATTAAAAAATGGAAAAAAATTAAATGTGTCAATAATCTTATAACATAAGGTTAATTTCATACATTATTTTTACACAATATAAAAAGTTATAGCAGCTTGCACTGGAGCACAATATCATAAACACTATGTTCTTGGTTTATTGTAACTGTTTATTATGCTGTTGATTTATTACAGCTAAGTTTGCACAAGCTAAATATGAAATATGTTTATACAGATGCAAGAAGTACAAATCCACCTTGGGATGTTGACCTTCCTCCTGAAACAGAAGAGTGGCCTGATGACTTACAAGAAGATGAAGAAAGTGCAGCTGATGATTCTGTAAGCTCCAAAATTTATTAAGATATTAATAAACTACTCAGAAAAAGTTTGGACTCACTTCAAAAAATCGTTGTCTTTTTTATTCATCATTCAGACAGTTTAATGTAACAGATTTGTTGAGAATCACATTGAATTTACTAGTTGAAAACTTTTACATGTGATATTTTTGAATTTTTGTGGAAAAAACGAAAAAAATCAATACGGCCGTTTTTATCAATATGTTGGCCTTTCCATACATTTCGGCTAAAATCCTAGACTTTATTCAGTGGAATATTGATTTGGTATCCTTAATTAATGAAACACTATTGAACCATCATATTAAGATGTGTACTATTGCAAAATCTATATATTTTGGAATCACAATAAAAGACACAAATGAACTTGTATATTATTTTTTATTAAGTTATCGAGAATGTGTACTGACCTGTTTTGAGTTTGGGATAGAAACGTTTAAACGATCTTTAAACTCAAATTATATATATATATATATATATATATATATATATATATAGGAAAATAATTTATTTCTTCTTGTTTACCTAGGATGAAGATTCTTTATGCAATAAACTATGCACCTTTACAACCACACAAAAAGAATTTATGAACCAGCATTGGTATCATTGCCACACTTGTAAAATGTTGGATGGAGTAGGCGTATGTACAGTTTGTGCTCGAGTTTGTCATCGCGGTCATGATATTAGGTAGATATTTCATATTCATTTTATTGTACTATAGCAAAGGTTTTTATAATAAAGGGCACTCATTTTCTTTTATTTATAAATTCTGTTCAAATAATTTAAAAAAAATATATTGTTTTTTTTGTGGCCAAAAAATTAAAATATATGAAAATAGATCATTTTTTCAAACTTATTTTTACCCCAACCTTGGAAAAATAAAGGTGTGAATGTGTTCAACAAGTTAAACTATTTTTAAATATTATTTGTCAGTATTTAAAAATGGTAAACTAAATAGCATTTTCTGGCAATGCATCTCTTTAGTCTAATTTTTACTTAGCATGATTAGAAAACTTGTAGGGTCACATGGAAAAATTCAATCACATATCAAGATTGAAAAATTGAAAACCTTTAAACTTTGTTTTTTCAAAAATCTTACATTAATCTATGTGGTAGCTTTGAATGTTGATAATAAGTAAATCAATTTTTATAAGCTCACCTGTTCTTAAAAACGTTATAGAACTAGATTTATATTTATATGTGTGTATGTATGTATAATAATAGGTAGTTACTGCCTTAGGGCGGGACCGTTAGCTTAAACTCCAATACGATTCAGGGAAAAATAGTGCGAGTGATTTCCCATTGTCATTGTTTATTTTTGAATAAAATTTTAGTTTATTATTCATATTTATCATAAAAAAGAATATTAAGTTTTATAACGTATCCAAAGAAACTATTTTCATTTCTTGTGTGATATTAATTTCAGCCTAATTATATTAAATTAAAAATAAAAAATAATTTCTTGACATTTAGCATTAGACTCGATTTTGTATTATTTGTGTATGGGTGTATATGGCTGAATAAATGTGGTAAGTACAACTAAAGGATTCTTTAAAGAAATAATTCATCAACTTATATAACGCACTTCGTAAAATACATGAATTAAATTATTTTACAGTTATGCTAAGTATGGTAACTTCTTCTGTGATTGTGGGGCAAAAGAGGATGGAAGTTGTCAAGCTTTAACAAAGCGTGGTGCACAATCTAGTGACTCATCACAGTGCCAAACTGGTGCATCAAGCAGTAACGATTTAGTTCAACCTACTTCTATTAGGAGAAGATTATCGAGTCCTTTAATCCCTCAAAAAATATATGAGGTTGAAAAGCATCCCACTCTTGCAAAACAAATCGGTTAGTAATTGGGTAGATTTTAGTTTTTATTAAAATTATTTATTTATTTCCTAAAAAAATAATGACCTATTACTGGTTAAAATTTAGTAATCTACACCTGAGTGTGATAAATATTATTGAATAATTTGTTTCTGAGAATTTGACTAATTTATTATAGAAAAAAATATAAAACCTAAAATACTAATATAAATGATAATATAATAAATTATAAACTTTACTTACAATTAGTTCATAAAAACTAAAATTGTGTAATTAAACTTCACAGTGAAAAAATTATAGAACTATCTTTTTTAATTCCTTCGACATCATTGAGTTTAATGAGATAATTTAAGGAAACAAGTAGGTCATTGAAAAAGTCAAATGCCAGGTTGTAAGTTTTCACAAAGAGTGCTCACAATATGAAAGTTTTGTGTAAATTTATGACCATCTTTATTGCATGAAATAACATTTTATAAATGATAAGCATGTTTCAGCTCAGTTGTATCTACTACATGCATTTTATATATATATATATATATATATATATATATATATATTATATTGAATGGTAGAGTCTTGGATTTGTGTATATTTTGTAGAGTTTCGAACAAGAATCCAAAAATAATACAAAACAAACAACAACAAACAATATCGACTTCCTTTTAAGATCAACAATTTAAGTATTCACACCCTGACATATAAAAACACACACATACAATCTCACATCTCTCGTTCAAGTGTTTACACGTGTTACAAAAGGCACACCAGTTTCATTTAGTTAATTTTCGAAAACCAATCGAACAACATCCAGAGAACAATATTATTTGTGTTTTCAAATAATAATTTTAAAAAAGACAAATTTTTTAGTAATTTTGATTTACAAAATCTAATTATTCGGCGGAAAATTAACTCACAAAATCATTTTTGTTAAAAAAGCTTGTTTAGTGAAAAGTGCTAACAAATATTCAAACATACAGGTAATTAATTCAACTTTGTCATTAACCTTTTCTTAAAAAAATTCCATAACTTTCAAAAAAATTTTCTATTATGTTTAATATCCTGTTCTGATAATCCACTCATTTATTTTATCATTTTTATTTTGAACATATTATCATATTTCTGTACATTATTATACTTTTTACAATTTAATTCATTATTTAAGAAAAATCTATTTTCTTTTCCTAAACATATTGTTTGCTAAAATCTCATCAAGATCATGTTTCTTGACAGATGTCCTGAAGATGGAACGTACCTAGTTCCGAAACGTCGACAATAAACAAATAATTAAATAAAGAAATTATTTTTTTAAAAACTTTTCTTGTTTTTTATTTTGTATTATTTTTGGATTCTTGTTCGAAACTCTACAATATATATATATATATATATATATATATATATATATATATATATATATATATATATATTGTGTGTTTTTATAATATGCAATGTGTGAATGTTTTTAGTACATATGTACTTGGAGATTACTAATTTTCAGTTATATCAAATGTAGTAATTAAAGTTTTCTTTAGATTCAAGTCGCGAAAGTCTCAAACAGTCATCACAATGGAAACAAGTAACAGAACTTTTATTGAATATGACAGAGGCACTTATTCCTGCTTTAAATTTGAGTTGTGCAAGAAATTCCGTTGTAGGTTGTCACAAAAGGGCACAAGCTGCATTGGCACAACTACATCTACCTAATAAGAAATTTATTACCAGTGAAAAACTAATGGCAAGTAGTTCTGAAAATTATTTTAACATCTATTTAATATATTTATTGAAGAATATTTAATATAAATATAAACAAAGCACTTTAGTACTTTTTTTCAATGTGTAGCTTTGAAAAATTTACAAATTTGTCTTTTAAAATAAGGTTAAGTGTTATTATTATTTAACATTTTGTCATTTCTCTTAATTCAATTGAATTTTCAATACTTATTTTATCTTTAAAAATAAGGTCCCCACATTAGGCTCTCAAGAAGGTGCATTTGAAAACGTTCGAATGAGTTTTTCTGGTGAACAAGGAGCAACAATTAGACAACTACTATCTGCACACATGATAAGACGTGTTGCTATGTGCTGTTTAAGTTCACCTCATGGTAAAAGGCAACATTTAGGTAATTAATTTTCATTTGTTCATTATACCTGCATTTTGAATTTTGATCATATGTTATTGCAATTTTAGCTGTTTCTCATGAAAAGGGTAAAATCACTGTGCTTCAGTTATCTGCATTGCTTAAACAAGCTGATACTTCCAAGAGGAAACTTACTTTGACCAGATTGTCATCTGCGCCAATACCATTTACAGTATTATCATTGACATCAAATCCATGCAATGAAGACTTTTTGGCAGTCTGTGGTAAGAACATTATTCTTTATAAAACAAATTTAGTGTTCATTTTCTATACCATGAGTTACTTAAATAGAAAATGAAACTTTTTGAATATATTTACAATATCATGGTCTGATTTTTTGTATTAATTCCCAATTTTTGAGACAACAGGTCTGATTTGAATTTAAAAATGAAAAATTAAAAGAACAGTACAACTAATAAAAATCCATAATAAATAAAAACATTTTCTTAATTGTCTAAAACAATGTTACCTAATGTACTGAATAATTCAGTAATATTAACAATTGTGCTTACGTCTGCACTGCAGAGTATTTTTTAAAAGATACTAAAACATTACACATTATTAATAATACAAAGAATAATACATTGATCAATAATTTATGTTGTTTTTTATCTGACTATTAATTTATAGTAAAAAAAATGCATCATTACTTATTATTAAAACTTTTAAATGTTCACACCTGTATATAATTTCAAAATGTCCAAAATGTCTTGAAATATATGAACTTATAATTCTTCTTTGTTAATTAAACTCTTAATCACATTTAGAAAACTGGGAGTTTTAGTAATTTGTTTTGTAATACAATCTCATACACAAACTAGTGGTGAATGGCATTGTACCTTAAAGTAAATCGCTGGAACTTTCCATACCGTAATTAAATATTCGAGGAATACTAAATGTTTTTAAATAGATTATTTTTTTAAATACTGTAACTTATATATGTTTACAGAAAATTAAACAAAACTTAATCAATTGAATTTAAAATGAAGGTTATTGTATAATATTAATAAGAATTATATAAGCTGAATTGCAAAGTTAAAATTAATTATTTTGAGTATATGCATGACCTTTAGAACTTTAGCTAGAACAACAATTAAAATTTGATTTATTTTTCATATTCAAAAAAAAAAATTGTTTTGGAAATTAAAAAAAAAAAATTGTTTTTTCCAAAAGCAATCGTTTCAACAACACAAGCAGAAAGTTTTTTGAATCATTCAATTCGGATGCTCATTTCTCTCAAAAACTGTCATTTTTTGCATATTTAGCTGTTTAAATGTTCAGAAACCTTCAAAACGTGGAAAAATGTAAAAATTTACAATTTCGATTTTTGGACGATTACAATAACTTACTCTACGGGGAGTTAATAACTAAAGTAAAAATTAGAGTAAATTATATGTGAATAATAAGCCATTTTTGAAAAAATTAATGATAAATGTAATTAAATATTGCAGGACTTAAAGAATGCCATGTGCTAACATTCAGTACAAGTGGATCAGTTAGTGAACATCTAGTTTTGCATCCTCAATTAGAAACTGGAAATTTCATTATCAGAGCTATCTGGTTACCAGGCTCACAAACTATTTTAGCTCTGATTACTGCTGATTTTGTAAAATTATGATCTCAGCAAAGATGCCCTTAGCCCCAGTATTACTTTTTAGTTCCAACAGGAAAAGTAAGGGACTGCACCTTTGTTACCAGGTTAGTGAGATAGAATGTTCAGTTAACTTTTTTTTAATATGATAATGTAAGAAACTCATGCAACTTACACTTTTGGAGCATTAAAAGTAAAGATAGCCTTTATTGTAATTTTAAATTATTTACTATTGAAAAATTGTTTTTATTATTACATATATATTATTTTGTCAGGAAATAAAATTTTAATATGGTTTTTAATATTTATCACAAAGTATTTGAACAATGAGCAATTTCTATGAAAATATTTTGATACCAAATTCACTAACACAAAAAATCTGTTATGAAGACCACTTGAGACTTGTGGATATTTTATATAAGGAAATACCAATATTTTTATGCGCTAATGCACATACTCATACATATATAGAATTATGCATGCATGCATGTAGAGATGAACATGAAAATTCTTTCAACATTGTAGGATGGAGTATTTTATATGTTATTAATGGCTTCTGTTGGTTATATTTACACCCAACCCATGGTAGAAGAATCTCATGCCAAACACGGTCCATTTTATGTGACAAATACTTTAGAAATCTCACATCCTGATATTACCGTAAGTAACTCATCTGACATCAACTTTAAAAAGGTTACCTTCAAAATTTAGAATTGTTCTTTTTGTGCTGCATTTCCAGGATATTAAAGGTCAAATTGGAGGAGGAGGAGTGTCAATATATTATTCACACACTTTACAAATGCTATTTTTTAGCTATTCACAGGTATATATTAAAGTATCATAAATTTCTGCTTTTGTTAGTGTTTACAACTTTTTATTTGAATTAGGGGAAGAGCTTTATGGCGCCAATGTATAATGTGGATAGTGGTTTGTGCAGTATTATACCAATTGTTCTATCGACTAGTATCACAAAAAGGCGGTTCTAAATCAGCTAGCACTACACCTCAGCCTCTATGCCAATGGATGGAAGTTTCATCACATCCTGGACTTATATGCGCTTCATTGCAGAGTAGTAAGTTTTAATAATTTTTAATATTTCATTATTGTTGGCAATGTACCAATAAAAAAATAAATAATTAATCTCTTTAATTGTGCAGTTATAAGTTATCATTATCATTTTTTTTATTATTTTACAAACATTTATCATAACTGATAAAATTCTGCTAAATACATACAGGCATAATTTCATTAAATGCGATAAGCAGGATTATACTGTATTTTGTTGATTAGAATACAAGTTACAACATAAATGAGTTTGCAATAATAAAATCAAATGAAAGCTAATTTTAAAGAAATAGTCAGATAACTTGAATCCTGTTCACATGTAAACCTTATTTTAGGTAACAATCCAGTTGTTTTTATGCTAAATCCTGATACTGTTTTGGTACAAGAAGTGAAAGTGATTCCAGCAAAAGCCAAAATTATGGATATGGTAGCCATCCGTCATTCTGCTCCTAGTGTTGATAATAAAACAACACTAATTTTACTTTGTGAAGATGGCAGTTTACGTATTTATGCTGCTTCTAATAAACACACTGGTAAATAATTTTTTATATAAATATATTGAATTTTGATAACTGTAATCGATACAGTTAGTAAATTGTTTTTGAAGGATGAACGTATTTATCATAATGAGAATAAAAGTAAATATCACATATTATAAAAATATATTATATATATTATAACTAAAAAAATTGAGTATTTAAAAAAAATTATTAATAATGCTCGTGGTTTGGAACCCACTATTTGCTTTGATAATTAAATCATTACCAAAAAATATGAAATATATGAATAAACGATTGTGAATAATGGACATTTATTGAATAATATTAATTTTGACTTTTATTTTCGGAAGATTTTTCTCACAAGAATTTCAGATGTTTTTAGAATCTTATATCACTAGCATGAGAATCTAACACTTGCAATACTTATATATTGTAAATGTTTATATTATTTTTTATGTCAAAGCTTTACTTATTTGAAATTGGCTTTTCTTATGTTTAATGTTGTTTTTATCTAGGTTATTGGTTATCACCTACGGTCCAACCACCACTAGCTGTAATTAAATCGACTAAACGATTGTCAAAAAAGATGGGACTTAAGAATGGGGTCAATAATAATAAATCAGCAGGTGCACAACAATTTCCCATCGATTTCTTTGAATTTTGCATGGCCATGAGTGATGTTGAATTTGGTGGTAATGATTTGCTGCAGATCTATAATCCAGTTCAACTAAAACATAGGTAATTAAATATGTTATTGATTATAAAATTATATTAATATCTATCTATTTTTTTTTGTTAATCACAGCATTTATGGTTAGTAGAGAAAGTTGCAAGAAACTTAACATTCACATATAGTTAAGTTCTAAGATAGAAACATACGAGAGATCATTTTTAAGTTTGTGGAATGAAAGGGTTTTTGGGCTCATTATAATCGTAGCGTGTTCAGTGACTATGAAAATGAAATTTTATTGTTTTGAGACAATTAGTCAACTATCGTCAACCAAGCGACATTATCGCGATGATATATATATATATATATATTCTCCAAAATGTGTACAGAATTAGTGACTTATATCTTATTCCTTAAGTTAAGCATATTATTTTTAAAACTATTACACAGTTAAATTTGTTATATCTAGTTTGATAGTGATTTCCTTTTTATACAATTTTATTTTGATAGCTTATACTGTGTGCCTTTATTGAAATTATTTGTTAATTTTTAAAAAGGATTATTAAAATCGCAGTGTATAATTCATTTCATTTTTTGAAAGGTTAAATTCAACTGGCATGTATGTAGCTTCGACAAAAGCAACTGGATTTACATTAGAAGTTACAAATTCAGATAATAACATGGTTATGTGTGGTGTCAGAGTTCAAATGGGTAATTATACTTAAAGAAATTTATAAGTTGACAATTTTTGTGAAGTTCTTTTTTAAATTGACTTTTACTTATAATTATATATCAGTGAGGAATGCCTTCAACTTGTTTTCTTTTAGGTAATCAGGATGTCGTCCGCACACCAGCATATGTAGAAATATTAGGTAGATGTATACAAACAACTTGTATTCGCACACGATGGTTTGATATTCCCTTAACACGTGAAGAAAGCTTACAGTCTGATAAAAAGTTGAATATTTTATTTGGTCCATCTCAAGATCCAGATGGTGTGATCATGGTTGATAATGTTAAAATGTGAGTGATTGTATTAATAGAGTAAAACATATTTGAGTACTTCACATAATTCGTAAATCACATATAAATCTAAATAATTTTACAGAATTCCCAATGAAGATCAAAATGTATTTTTAACATTTATTCTTTTGCTGGATGGATTTTTTTGTTAGTGTGGCATTATGGATATTTTTGATCACCGATTTAGGACTTTATAAACCCTTCAATTCATTAAAAATGATTATATATTCTTTATCATATCCTTATAAAAACTCTCAAATTAGTCTGTCTTGGTTCAAGCCGAGTTTCTTGTTGTATTCTCTTATTGCTTCTTTATTAACCAATATTAGTACTTAATACATAATAAAATGTATTATGTTCTATTTTCCTTGTTCTACTTAATACTTCTTCTCATAATTTGGCCAGAACTGTAGTAATTATGTACATGTGTTTATGTGTATACTCGGGTAATTTTTTATGTATATACATATATTCATGTAAGTGTATATATTTATTCATAAATATGTATGAAAGTGTTTATGCATGAATACATTTTCTTCTGAAATTAATACTAATATGTAATGATTGTAATAGAATGTCTTTTTTGCAGTTATGGCAAAACTAAAGATACTTTTGGATGGCCGGAAGAACCTGATGATGCTGGAGCTAACTCTACAGTTGCATCATCAAACAATAATCAAAATAGTCAAAATTCATTGGATTCAGATTCAAATCAGAAAAATGTTTTAATTACTCCATTAGATAAGTATGTTTTAAATAACTATACTATACAATAAAATTTAAATTGTTTATAAACAAACGTTCACTACAACATTTCTAATTACTACATTTAAATTTGCTGAAAAATGGCAAAAATGAAATATTCTGATTATTGTAGCTCCGATCAACTTGAACAGAATATTATAAAATTAAGTATCAGGTGCCCTTAAGATAACTTTCATACAAAACTACTTACTTGATTTATCTTTTTATATGTTTTATTATGATTTATTAATTCTAACATATTTACATACTTATTTGATGATTGTATAGTAATCAATTTTTCATTTTAGATTGATATCTGGTTTACTGGAAGTTATAGAAGGTAGCTTTTTGGTATGCCAATTTCAACCTAATGATCCACTACGAAGTTTAGCATTTGGAACCACATCCAAGTTAATAACTATGCCTACTATATTGCAAATTCAAATGAATACTCAAGCTGTGATGGCTGCACTTCATGGAACTAAATCTAGCTTTCATGCTTATAAAGTAAGTGAAATGATATTCTTGTTCAATGTAATATGCTTAAATATTTCTAATCAAGTTTAATTTCAATCTCTTTTGAGCATCTTATTTTAAATAAAATTAAGTTTGACATATAAGCTAGCATTAAATATAAAAATACAATTTGTATTAACATTACTAATCTATAATTGTTTTTGAGTGGTTTGAAATGCTTTACTAGACAGTATTTTAGGTTGATAAAATGTTCCATTCAATTACAGGATCAAGTTCTTCTTAATCATGTTTCTGAACAGCTGAATTCTATGAGTAATAATCAAGATTGCAAAGATTTAGATCCCGAAGGATTTTATAGATTGCTTCTGATAATTCGCAATATGGCTGTATCCAGACCTGCTAATTTAACGAAATTTGCAGCTGCCTTGGGTAATTACTAGTAATAAATAAATAACTAGTATTTATTCTAACACACTGTAAGCGGTATGGGTAAAAATACCTGTCTCGAGAACTGGTGTTTATTAGTGTGCTGTGTATTTTACCCTCTGATTTTATTTAGTATTTTGTTAATTAGCAATATGTGAATTTAAGACATTTTTTACATTTCTTAAAACGACTTAAAATGTTTTTTTGATCATATTTATTTGAATATACTATGACAAATTTGTAATTTATTAAAGTAAACGCCAAAAAAACATACTAAATTCTAGTAAAAAATCTTTTTGGGTATTACAATTTTTTTTACATTAGTTACAACTGCATAAATTTAAATAAAAACTAAAATCTAATAAAAACTACTATTTTACGTGGGTAATGAAATTTTAAATAAATTTTTTTTATTACAACTTGCTTGATAATTTTGTGTTGCGCATATTTTTACAAATCAACTGGTTTAATAATTTAAATATTTTGATTTTTATTTAAATTAAAGATGTATAAAATAAATTTAATTGATTTTATGTTTAATGGAGATATTGTCTAAAGCTTTTGCTAGGAACTGCATTGAATTCCCAAATTTTTTGCCCGCTGCACATATCAGTTTGGTCTATTTGTACACCAGCTTATAGTGTTTTGCTATATTTGCTATTAGAATATATATATATATATATATATATATATATATGTGTGTATATATATATATTTATAGTCATCGTCTTAGTATCGGTCTTTCTGTAATGTTGATCCTAAATCAACAAAAACCAACAGGAAATTAAATCACTCTATTTAATGAAAAACGCTTTTCATTTTTCTCTGCATAGTCAAATATTTAGTATATTCTAGTTATATTTTATTTTTGGTAGACTTGATATAAATATGAATTCATATATTCAAAATTATATATTTTTGTGTCCTTTGTAGGTGAAAGTAAACATATTATGGATCAGTTTATGGATGTTTTATGGTCATTACATGAGGTTTCTCCTGTAAACAAATTCATTAGTTGTGCAGTAAGTTCTGGATTACCACATACTGAATCTGTGGTTTTCTGCATGGTGGAAATAATTCATGCATTTATGCTAAATGAATCATCTTTGGTAAGTAATATCAAAGCATATTTTTCATACTAATTCATATGTACCATATGTACTACTAGTAATCATGCATTACTAGTAATCATGTATTGTGTGTACTGCATATAATATATGAGGGTGAGTTGAGAAGTTTTCAATCTCAAAACGATAGGCTGCTGTTTAGGCAAGTACTTGAAGAGTTTTTGTGGAGATAGAGAAAATTGAGTACCGAACTGTTATTAAAGATTTAATATGTAAAGATGGGTGCCGCGTTTGCTCATGTTAAATCCAAAACATGTTTGAATCAACATTTTCAATGCACTTTAGGCATAAATGTATATAGGTGCAATGTGTAATTTAGATGAAATTTGGGTACATTATTATACACCGGAAATAAAACTTCTGTCAAAACAGTGTACTGCAAGTGGGTAAACAGCTTCAAAAAGAACAAAAGACAAAAAGCATGTTCCCATGATTTCAACCCTCCTAGCTATCTGAAATATAAAAATATTAATCTACAACGATGTCGCAATCGCCCGAACTAGCGACGAGTAAAAAAAAATATTTTTTTTACAAAATAGTGAATGTGTTTGAGAATAAAAGTAATTTTTTTAGTGTTTTTTGAGATTCTCGAATTTTTTAAAAATAGTAAAAGTTGGAATTTGGGGTTGATGCTAGTTCAGGCTACAGCTAGGCCTGTAAACAAGACTCTGAAAATTTCAAGTGAATCGGTATAGTAGAACTCGAGAAATCGTGGGAAGAGTACTGAAAAAGTTTGTCTTGACAATGAGAAAAACACATTTAAAGTTTTGCGTGAAGTTTTTCACTGCCAAAGTCATAAAATTATATGTTATACTAACTTTTATTTAATCTGCCATTCCTGCTTCATACATTGGATCTTTCATTTAAAAAAAAAACTATTTTCTGTGTTTCTCACTTCCAATCGAGCTGCTCTAGCCTCCTTTGAAGCCTTGGATGAACATATTTCAGATTGTTCAATCCGGGGGTTGTTTTGTCTCAATTTATATATTAATAAAAAAATAATATTTTTAAATTTTGATTATAATTATGTTGGTAATATTTGTAAAATAAAACAAAAAAATAGAATAATATTAGTAATATTAATATTAAATGTACTTATTTCAGATTGTTAATTGTCAAAAAATAGAATAATATTAGTAGTATTAATATTTAATATTGGTAATAAAATAGTTAATATTAAAATTAAAAATTAAAATGTCTAATATTTCTAGGTTGCTCTTGGCTGTCGTTTGTACATGTCCATGTTATCAAGTAAGGATACCCAGATTAGTTTTACAAGCAAACATGCAATTATTCAGATGCTCAGGCCAAGACCTCGTATATTGTGTTCTGAACAGCAAGGTGCATCTGCTTCCAGCAGTGAAGTTGCTTTGACAGTCACTTCTTGTGCAAGCAGTAGTGGTAACAAAGCTAGTAGCAGTAGAGGATCAAATAGAAGCAAAGTTAAAACTTCCGGTGTAGTTGAACAGCCAGCAAGTCAAAGTTCAGGTTGCTTTTTTTAATAGTCTTTACTATATTAATAAATTTCAAGATTCATTTAGTAGTCACATATAGTTTAGTTTAGTGAATGATTTAGCTATTAAACTTTATTAAATAACAATTTATTCTGATAAGCTTTCGAATTAAACAGTTTTCGAGTAACTTTGAGTATTAATATACTGTTTTTAAATTACAGTTAGACCCTCTCGTGTGAATCCTGTTGCTTCTTCAGTTCCTCAACAACAAAGACAATTGGAGCCGGACATACAGGATATTGATACAGGTGATTATTATTATTTAACATTTAATAAAAATTGCCCGTAGGACATAATAAAAATCGTCTCACAATTCAAATTGAGTATTACAGTTATATTGTTTCACAATTTATTTACCATATCTGCAATTTGCTGTTTAAGAATGAAAGAAAATAATGTCACAACATTTACATAAGCCGTAATGTTTATGAGGAATATTGAGGAATATTTATACATAGTTTAAAAGATACAGCTATTATGTATTTGTGTAAGGACTGACCTGATGGCATAATCCACTTTTTGGTACTATTGGAAAATGATACATTATGTTTTGTCTCTCATAAAAAATCTTACATCACATTTGGAGTCATATGGCCAATTTGAATTTAAGAGTGCACTTACAGTTCAAGAAAGTCACAAAATATAGGAAATATAGAGCGCAATAATTTAAAAATTATTTATACATTAAAATCTAAAAGATTTGTCTTTTGATTGATCAATGTTTTTCATTTATAGCTCCAAGTCACCCAAGTTTAGCATCTTTAGAAGCGTTTTTGGCTGCCCCAGGTGGTTTCCCGCCACTGATGGATTTACCACCAGATGCAGATGATGAAGCCATGGTTGAGTTAGCAATTGCTTTAAGTTTGCAAGATCATGAAGGTGGACTACATGCTTTACAACAAGGACTGGCCAATCTTCAGAACCTGGGCGCTAATCTACATAATATACAAGTATGTATTTAAAAATAAACCATTTCTCTTATTCTATTACAAAAAAAAATATTTTATTTACTTAAAGTACGTTTACTTTACTCAAATTTAAATGTAAGAATCACTATTTGATACTGTAATTAGAAGTACAACTTCGATAGCTGTGCTAACACCTAACTGACTAATAACTGCTTTGGCTTGATCAATCACAAATGTAAAAAAAAAGTTTTTGGATGCAATGTAAGACTTGATACATGCTTTATGACCTAATTCAAAATAATAATTATATGAACTACTTTATGCACTATAGTACTGCAATAATAGTGTAGTAGTGATTAAAAGTTTTTTTTTTTAGCAAGTGCTATCTGCTGCAAATATTGCGGCTGCTGGTCATGGTGGTCATTACAGTGATACAACTGCTTCTGCAGGAGGCTCGGACGATGAAGGTTCCACTGCAGCAACAGATGGCTCTACTTTAAGAACATCAATTGCAGATCAGGTAAAAAAATACATATATCACATAATTCATTTAGAGGTTCCAAGGCACACAGCATAAAAAAATTATTGCAATACATTTTGCATCATCTATATGTTAATTTTCATTATCATATTGTTTATTATACCTAATAATTCAATTGCTAAAATATGATATACTAAGTTTACTCTTTAGGCTATAAATATTTTTGCAATTTATTTCAATGAATGAAGGTTTGGAATTGTCAATAATTTTTAATTGGTTTTCCTTGAGTAAGCTAATACTGATATATAATAATCTAATAATCTAAAATCTGTGTAATAATCTAAAATTTACACTAGGGTGGAAGTAATGGATCAGAATCAGGAGGGTCGGGTGCCGAAAGTACTGGCGGTGTTTCTGGACGGAGTAGCTCTTATGGAGATACCTTAATTGGTCCACCAGTTGTAACTAATGCATTATCAGGAATCAGCAGTACTTCACCGCCCAGGCAAGCCGATTCAACACCAGCTACATCTAGTGCAAGCAATATACCACCGGTACAGCAACAATCATCATTGACTTCCATTGAACCTGAATCCTCTGATGCAGAGTTGGGGGAAGCTAGTGGAGAACAACTTGCGATCGAAATGCCTTTGTCTGCCAAGCACCAATTGGACTTGGAAAATGAAGCATTAGATAAGGAAACTAATTTGAAAATGCATCAACTTAGGTATGGCATATTACTGTTCACTAAGGTGACCATTTATCCTAGTTTGGCTTGGAGATAGTTTCAGAATTTTACCTTTTGTTTCTGGTTTTCCTAAAAGCAATATTTATCTGGAATTTTGATTTTTTTATTCTGGATTGTCTTGAGTTTTTGAAAAGTATAGGTTCACCCTCTCTCACACTGTTCCATATTAGCATAATTACAGTTGCTATCCTGGTTTTGACCTTGAAAAAATAAATTAAACATGATTTTAAAAGCCATAATGGTTTATAAACTATCAATTTTATAAAAAATATGTGTAAATAATTATTGTGATAAAAATTAACCATTTTTACTATCTAACTTTTAATTAAAATGTTATATGTAAATGATTCTAATTTTATATTAGTTTATTATCAACATGTTAATACTAATCAAGTATTTCACTTCTAGAGTTCAAGTCTTAAGTAATATGGTTGATAATATGGGTCAATTAAAATCAGTTTCTGGAGTTCAATCTATTCCATTTATGCAGGTAATTTTAAGGTTGATATTAACAACCACTTGCAAATAATATATGTATTTTTATGCTACAGAATTAACTTATTTTATAAAATAATATATGTGTAAGTTCACAAGTGTTTGTTCTTTTTTATATTCAGGTAATATTGATGCTAACGACTGATTTAAATGGCTCTTCTGAAAATGATCGCCAAGTATTGCATAAACTTCTATCAGCTTTAGTACAGGAACTAGGATTTGCACCAAGGTTTTCGGAAGATGGATCATCGGAAGTAAATGAATCTACACAAAAAAGGATCGTTGATCTTGATGATGTTTATGTTAGAACACATTCACGTGAAGTGAATTTAGTAATAGTTCGTTTATTAAGTGAGTATATATAACTAACAGCTATTAAATAATTGCTATTTCATACTACAAAATTTACTTTAGTTATCAGCATATAACAAAAAAATAAATCTTTCTTTGTTTTTTTTATAATCTGTTTTTTTTTTTATTTAAAAGAAATATAATTGTTTGATTTACATAAATATTGGATGTAAAAATCGTACAAAACTTTGACAAAAATAATTACAATAATAATAATTAATTGGGAGAAATATTTTATAATTGACAAATTGAGATGTTTTATTATCTGTAATAAGTACCAATTAATGGTACCATAATACCACAAAATTCTTTTATATTTACAATAGATTGTAAAAGCAAATCATAAATTGAATTAATGAATCTGTAGAAAGTTTTTTCTACTATTATAAGTTTCTTTTTTTATTGAAAACATATGCTTTATGCAGGTGTTTTGATGTCTCGTTCGAAACAACAATCCAGTAAATCTCAAGCACACGAGGGATTAGTATTTGTATCTAGGATGGCAGCTAATTTACTTCATAAAAGTGGTGTTGTCGAGTATTGCCACAATTTGTTGACGAAGTTATTAGAGTAAGTTTATTGTAATATTATATTCTAGATTGTATGCGTATTATGAGACAAAATGTTTGAACTATTTTAAAAGAGTGCATTTCACTGTACAGGTTATTACTAGATTTCCAAGAGAGATAAATTTACATAAAATTATTTTTGATATATTCATCGATCTTCCTACATTCCGATATACTTCTTAAGAGTTTTGTAAGAAAATTCCAGATGCATTTTCAAATAATTTTATATTTTTCAACCAATATACTTGTGAATGGTATTAATATAAGTGTTTTGCAACAAAAGCATTATAAAAAACTGCAAGTTGTAAATGTGACTAATGATATCTGGAATTGCTGATCTCTGTGTGGGAGAAATGAATGTGGTTTATATTCAAGTATGTATAGTCTTCGAATGTAAATATTAATTACATAAAATAATGTTGTTTTGAATATAGTGTAAAGTATTATTAAATTTGAATGATTTGAATGAATTATTTGCAATGATATCTCTGCCAAAAGATGCACTAGGGAATTGAAAGTTGAATTCAATTTTTTTTTGCGAAAAGACTACAAAATGACATAACTCATTGAAATAAAATGTTGGGGGTATTCTGTATGGGAATACTCCGTAGCCTTTAGATCTATTTGTACTATCCAAATAATTTTATTTGAATAATAAAGATGGTTGTTGATTACTACACATGTGCACATGCATATTTTACCCATTAATTATTGTTGTAAGATGTGCAAAAATAATTAAGAAATGCAAAGATATAGAAAACGTCTTTTTAGGTTTTCAGAAGTTTCACTCAGATTCCATATGGGAAGTTATTAATTAAAACTTGTGAAGTTCATAATGTTACTTCTTCTAGGTATTGGAGTGCACCAACTGTTTTAGAAGAAGCGTCTTCTGGAGGAGTAAGTTGTACACTACTTAAAGAACATCTACCTAACACATTACCTGATATGCAACCATTTTTCTTAAGACAATATGTGAAAGGTAATAGTAAGTAGATTAAACCTTCATTCTCTTCCAACAAAATATTTGGGTTCCAATATATTACTTGACTATACGTTAATAGAAGGTCCATTTTACATTCCAGGTCATTGTACAGATGTATTTGAAGAATATCCACAGTTGCTGACCGAAATGGCTGTGAGGTTACCATATCAGGTATCTTCAAATTTATTATAAAGCTGTACAAAAATATCTAAATGTATCAGCTTAAATCAATCAGTTTTAAATGATTAGTATTGAAGCTTACATTCTATTAGCAGTTGATTGAAAGTGTTGCATTATACATAATTTTCAAAGTCTTCATCATATATATATATATATATATATATATATATATATATATATATATATACAGGGCCGATCCTGGACATGTTGCGCCCGCATGCAACATGTTTCTAGCCCCTCCCCCCTATTAATTTTAACCGTTTTAACAGTTTATCATTAAAATTATGTAAATATTCACATATTTTTTTTAAAATAGTTTTTAATTACTCTGAATTCAATACACAAAAAATTAGATATAACATAGAATCATATAAAATACATTGATTTTAAATTTATTTAGAAGGCGATTTGCGGCTTGATTATAATCAAATGTTTTTAAATTTTCAATTATTTATTAACAATTATTTTTTTATTTTTCAATTATTATTATGTGGCAATATTAATATTTGGGTTTGGAAACATTTTACTTATTTATTGTGTGATTTATTCTGTTGAGCAAATCATGCCAAGAGAGCTAAAAAAAAACTAGCTTTCTATTTTCAATCATAACACTCGTATTTTGTGCTGGATTTTTTAAATTTTAATTTAATTTAATTTTTCATTATTTACAATATCCAAAATTGCGTCGTACACTTCTCCTTATTGATATCCTAAGAGCCGAGCTGTATTGATCCTTGCATTCTCGTCATATTCAGATAATCAAATTGTTGTCTTAAAGTTAAATTTTTTTAACGTATTTCAGAAGTATTGTCCAAAAATCAGTAAAAAATGCAAAGAAATTACACTTGAACTATTTTGAAAAAAAAACTAACTATGTTTGATATGCATTATTTCTGCATAGTTAATAATTATTAAAATTAGAGTATGGACAACACTAGGTATAAAAAGAAATTTAAGATTTTCGTTCCAAAGTAAATTTTGCTTTCATTTTTCATATTTGTTTCATTTCCATAACCTTAAGGGGGGCGATACATGTAATCGCCTTAATTTTTACCATTTTTTGAGGACTTTTTAAACTGGGAAGGAATGATTGAATCTTTTTGAACTTTTTTAGGGTTATTTATTATATATTAAAATACACAAAAAATTTTTTTTTTTAATTTATTTTTTTTAAATGGCTGCCGTAAAAATAAATCTGCTAAGACCCTCTCGGAAAACGCCATCAATTTGCGGGCGTTCTCACTTTTCGTACGGTGATCTGAATTTAAAAAAATTAGTTTGTACGTGTTCATAAAACATATATCTTCTAGTTAAACCAAAAAAAAATTAAAAAAGTCACAAAATCGTAAATTGGCACACCTTAGAAAAAAAAAGTTCGATTTTTCACCTTTTTTTCAATGGTTTTTTTGGTAAAAGGGTTAATTTTTGAAACATTTTTTGGAATGTTTGAGGTTTAACTAGAAGCTATTACTGTAAAGTAGATGTGTGCAAAATTTCATTGGAATCGGTTGAGAACTTTTTGAGTTATCACGCCCGCAAATTTCAAAAACGTCGTTTTGAGAAAAACGCGTTTAAAGTTTTGACACAGAAACAGATAAGAGTACAATAGCACTCAAGCGTCGAGTTGAGGCGTGGCACTTAAATGAGTTTTTATTGTATAAATAATGATAATTTTGTTTTGAATATTTACAGGCATATTTTTGAGATGTTATTGTAACGATTTATGAAAAAAAAAAAATCGATTTTTTTTTTCTTGTTACATGTATCGCCCCCCTTAACCACGCATGTCTTCAACATTCAAAGCTCATCACATACGAAACATTTCCTACATACAAAATAAAAGCTACTATCTTCTTTTATCTATGGCTACAATTCAATTTCTCGGAATAAAAATGCCATTTTCTAATCACTGAGTCCCCGTTGTTCATTTTCCCGATTATAATTTGTTTATATTTTTTAACAAGTTTTGTTTCAACTAAATCAGCTCGCAATTTTTCATCAATAATGCCCAACAATTAATCTTTCGCAGGTTTGTGTTTATGGAATTCAACAATAGATGTTTTCTTTTTTGATTCCACAGTAACTTCAAACAAAGAAAAAAATGAATAAGTAGATTAAGCAATAAACAGAGCTATTATTTACTAATTTGCATAGTTATTAGACGGTTAATTGTTTCTACTGATATCACTTTGCAAAATAAGTATGCTTTTTATGTCTTCGTATCCCTACTATATTCTGAATTTTATATACATAATAAAAAATATAAATAATATATTATAAATTTAATTTCCGACACTCCCCCTAAGGCGTGCGCCCGCATTTTTTGCATGCATTGTATGCAAGGCAGGACCGGCCCTGTATATATATATATATATATATATATATATATATATATATATATATATATATATATATATATATATAATTTCACAATTTAAAAAATATTGATATATGTTTATAATCTAGTCTTATCCAATATTGAAAATTAACTTACTACTAATATAGATACAAAAACACACGGAAGGTGGACAATCTCTGGGAAAGCATTGGTTGGATACACTTTGTGAATACATGATGAACCCGAATACATCATTCGCTAAAAGACAAGTTCGAAAAATGTTACTCTTCTTATGTGGACATAAAGGAAAATATAGGCAACTGCGAGATGTTCACTCTTTACATACACATTTTAAGGTATTATATATGTTGTAAGTTATAACTTACAATATTGAATTCCATAGCCAAAATCAAATGTAATTACTAGTGAATTTAATATTATTGAATAAGTGTTATCAAATATTTAATTATTGCTAATTCTTGAAAAAAAAAAACTTAATATTATAAAAACATATGTATTAAATATTTCAATATTCTATGGTTTTCAGGCAATTAGGTCTTTTTGTGATGATCCTACCTCCTTGCCATATGACTACCTTGTTGATTTGGTGGAGCATTTGAAAGCATGTTTGGAAGTTGCTTCTGTAAGAACTGGAAATTGGCAGAAATATTGCATAGCTAATGATGGTGTAGTACCATTTCTTATGCAAGCTAGCTGTCTGCTAGATGAAGGTCATAAACATTTCTTTAAAATTAATAAAATTATTATATTTCTTGTACTTTAATTGAATTTGACGGAACTTGTTTCTCAAGTTTTTTCAAGAATATGCATACAAAACGATTTTTCAAAATTAAAGGTATTTTTGGAGATATAGCTGTTTGACCATGAAACTTTTTTCTGTTTCCTTTCTCTGCAAAACTTTAAACATGTTGTTTCGAAACTGTCTTTTTTGATACAATACCTACGTAATTTTTACCTTCTACTTGACCGAATTGCTTGAAATGTTTTCTTCATAGACTTTGTACGAGCATACCCAAATCCCGATTTTTACTAATTAATGAGATAATAAAAAGTTGTAAAAAATACTGTTTTTTCATATATTTGCGATTTTGTAAACCTACATTTTTCTTCACTTATTGGTTATGCATGTGATTGCGATATTATTTTAGATTAGAGTAATAATATTTGAACATATATTTATCTCTAGATTATTAGGAGAGCTAAATTCATGGAAATGGTCATGTGCAAATTTTTTGAGACACCCCACTTACTTACCTTCTAGAATTCAAACTTTGGTTATTTTTAATTATTTTATTTTGAATATTCTCAAATCATTAATTAATAACTTATGAATTTATTATTTATCTTCCAAATATTGCATAAAATTAATTTCTATAGACCAGAATACCGGCTTAAAAATTATTTAAATTAAATATAGAGAAGTAGAGAATCCGATAATTATTGATGCTCAATAAAATAAAAAACATTATATTGAAATATAAGAATTGAGTGATAAAGTAGTAAATTAATAATATATTGTTGTGCAGGTGTATCCTCAATTATCTTGCAACTTCTTCAGTCTGCTATCTGCAACAATAATAAATTGTCAACATCTGATACGAACAAAACAGTACCAACAATTTCTAGTTTAAGCTCCTCTATAACAACGCCTATTTCTGCACAATCTTGTACAACACCTTCTGCCAGATCATCAGCCAAAGGTAAATTGAAAAAAAAGTTTGTTTATTTAGGTTATATTTAACTATTTTACATTTTAGATTTGTATATTGTTATGTATTTGATTGCAATTTATGGAAATTTGTGCTTTTTTACAATTTAGTCTTCAATGAAACTTTGTGGTTAAATTTGCAATTGAATTTTAATACATTACTGAATTTTATATTTCATTTTATTCTAGATCGCAAAGAGCGCGATAAATCTGAAGAATCTGACAGTACTGATTCTAAATTCGAAGATTCTCAATGTGCTGTTCTTGTGAATCAGATTAATGCACAAGTCAGTACAGAAGTATTGCGTAAATTTATAAAAACATTTTTGTTAGAGACAAACTCAACAAATGTTAGGTGGCAGGCACATGCACTTTTATTATCTATGTATATGTAAGTCATATTTATTATTGTAATATTCAATAATTGAAATTATTAAAAATAATAGCCATATTTTCACTTTACAGTAATTCTAGTCCATCTCAGAAAGAGGCTTTACTTGAATTACTTTGGAATTTGTTACAGTTTCTTCCAGCTTATGGCAGAAGAACTGCACAATTTGTAGATCTCTTAGGCTATTTTTCATTAAAGACCAAAGATATAGAGAGTAAGGTAATTATGTGTTTCTATGTGTTCTATTGTTAATTGATGATTACTGATGAACATATAAAATACATTATTTTTTTATAATGTATATTTACATTTATATATGGCTGTTATGCCTTTTATGTTATACAAAAAATACTTATTATTTTTTTATTAATGGTCAATATTATTTTTTGTGTAGATGAGTACATACATGGAACAAGCAGTGCTAGTTCTCCAAGCGCAAAATCAATTGCTATCTCAACATAGTAATGCTCAATTATATAGCGGTTTATCTCAATATGTTGAATTAGAAGGATATTACTTAGAATCTGAACCATGTCTTGTATGCAACAATCCTGAAATTCCTTTCAGCACTATTAAATTGAGCTCTATAAAAGTAAGTGATTTATTATAGAATGTAGCAATTAAAAACATGAAAAGCTGATATATATATATATATATATATATATCAGCTTTTTAAACTTCTGAACTAAGAGCCTCTTCTTTATTCTTAAGAAAAAAAAATATTTAAAAAAAATCAATTACTATTTTATTCAATTTTTGGGGGTATGGGATTCCTCCTTCTTCAGAAAGTTTATATTAGTATGTAGTATCCTCATAGACCAGAAGTAAACACCCCATATCTTTGAAACACTTAACAAGTGGTTTTCCACCTTTTTTGCACCGCGCCCCCTGCTCTTATAAAAAAAACTGTTGCGCTACTCTTAATTTTTTCAATTTAATTTAATTTAATTTCGTAAATTTTTAACTGATATTATCAGACTACAAATTAATATGCAATATTATGTAAAAATATGCATAAAAACTTATTTTTTGTTTATTTTTTATGTTCCAAAAATGTTGGGTTATTTTTAGGCTTGCATCGAATATTCGGTTACTATTCGGTATTCGGGATATTCGGCATCTTTTTTAATATTCGACTGAATACCGAATAGTAACTTACTATTGGGCCAAATATCGAATAGTTAAAATCGAAGGCGCCGCTGACGCTCAGCGACAGCATCGTTGGTGTTTTATCTTTTATGTGATAAAGAGCTCGCGTTGGATCTGTTTTTGGAAGTGTTTAGTTTACATAATGAAGAAACGATTTTGTTATAGTATATATAATAATTTAATCTTTAACGACTTTTGACATAGCTGTAGCGCCTAGGGGGGCGTCCATTAATCACGTGAGCGAGTTTTTAAGGAATTTTCGACCCCCCCTCCCCCTTGGTGATATTTGGTGATATTCAAAACTACCCCCCCCTCCCCCACCAAACATCACGTGTATTTTTAGTTACGTGATAAAACTGTAAAATTTAGCTACCCCTAGCTAAAAACCTGCCGAATAGTTGCCGAATATTCAGTAGTCGTCTTTTGGAGCATGCCGAATATTTGGTATTCGGCATTTTGCCGAATATACTATTCGTTGCAAGCCTAGTTATTTTCGATGATAGTATTCTGGAAGCAGATGTGTGCCCCCCCCCCTTGAGGAGGCGCGCCCCACATGTTAGAAACCGCTGCATTAACTTACGAATTTAATTCGTGACTAATTTCCCACACAGTGTACAGTTTATTATAAAAATAAAAATATTTTTTGTTTATAGTTTCGTATAAATAAATATTTTGTAATACTTGCGATTACCGTACCGGGCCATGCCCGTGATGCGTAATATTTGCTTCTGGCCCGATTATCGATTATCGTACGCGGGCCATGCCCGTAATATTTAACTTCCCCAAGGAGAAGTTTGTTTTTATCAAAAAATCCTATTTGTTAATTTTCTCGACGTTTCAAGCCATTCTGAATCGAAATGAAATTGAAACGTTGAGAAAACATAAAATTAGCGAATCGGATTTTTTGACGAAAACATAAACTTCGAAGTCGGAGATCTCCTTCGGGAAGTTAATAAAACCTTAGCCTTAGTTATAAAACCTTAAAATCATTAAATATTTATAGATACTAAATGCTCATTAAAATTTAAAATCATTTATTTTATTTTGATTGTAGGTTGATTCCAAGTTTACCACAACAACAACTATAGTAAAATTGGTTAACAGTCATACAATAAGTAAAATAACATTGAGAATAGCAGATTTGAAAAGAAACAAAATGGTTAGAGTTATAAACATTTATTATAATGACCGAACTGTCCAAGCTGTTGTGGAATTAAAAAATAAACCAGGCAAATAAACTCTACTATAATAATTTAAACATTTTGAATATTTATTTATTATTTCATTTGTTTTACAGCCCTTTGGCATAAAGCTAAAAAGGTAACATTATCATCTGGTCAAACTGATGTAAAAATAGATTTTCCCCTTCCCATAACTGCTTGCAATTTGATGATCGAGTATGCAGATTTTTATGAGACTGTTCAGGTGTGATGTTTTTTTTTTAACTTAGGTTTTGAACTTTTTTCATAGACAATTGATTTTAATCAAATAATATTTTATAGGGTACAAGTGAATCTTTGCAATGCCCTAGATGTAGTGCAGCTGTTCCTGCTCATCCAGGTGTATGTGGAAATTGTGGGGAAAATGTTTTCCAATGCCACAAATGCCGGTTTGTTATTTTCAATATCATCTTATTATTAGAAATATTCTTCATAATTCTTTATAGTTATATGAGTCAAATAATTTTTTGGGTGCTAGGGCTTTATTAGCTGCTCTTTTTGTTCTGCATTATTCTTTTTAATTAAGTTTATGAAAAAAATCTTTTCAGTGCTATATATATATATATATATATATATATATATATATATATTTTAGTAATATTAAATTTATGAAAAATATCTTTTTAGTGCTATAAATTATGATGAGAAGGATCCATTTTTATGCCATGCTTGCGGTTTTTGCAAATATGCCAAATTTGACTATTCTCTATTTGCTCGACCTTGTTGTGCTGTAGACACAATTGAAAATGATGATGATCGCCGAAAAACTGTTCAAAACATCAATAACTTGCTAGAGAAAGCTGACAGAGTGTATCAACAACTCATCAATAATAAACCAGTATTAGAGGTGAAACCATTAAGCTTTATTTTAGTTCTGATTTAACGATTGAATATATTATTGTTGAAAAATTCAAAGTTGCTTTTCAGTAAATGCGCTTAATGCACTTATGTATTAATATATTAAAATTTTAAAATATCTATATCACAGTTTACTATATTATAAACATTAACAATATATTTTTTACAGCTTTTAGTAAAGAAAGTATCTGAGCATCGTTCTGATTTTAATGTTGATGATACAATGGGTGGTTTTGTCGTAAATTCAACATCTCAAGTCAATAAAGTTGTGCAACTTATAGCCCAAAAATACTGTGTTGAAAGTAAAAACTTTTTTGAAGATTTGAGTAAAATATTACAAAAAGTAGAAGCTAGCAGAAAAGAGCTAATAGCATATGATAAAAAGCAGATGGACTTTGTAGTAGTAATGAACTCAGACATGTGTAAAAGTAAGATAATTTTTGTTTAAGTACTGAAACATTATATCTTACATACTTCATTGTTAATCTTTTCAGGTGCAACTACTAAAAATAGATGCTATGGATGTGCTTTGGCAGCTACAGAACATTGTTTAACTTTATTACGTGTGATGGCAACATTTGCACCTTGTAGGTGGTATTTAATACATAAACAAGGGGTTCTGCAAGAATTAGTAAATCATAATTTACGTGGTGGTACACACCAGGTGAGTGTTCAATTGCTATCTTTTGTAATATTTTTTAGTTCTATAATTCTAATAAATTATTCATTATATCATTTTTAAGATTTATTAAATTTATATAATTTTCATCATCTTGAATAATTGTTTTATTTGACAATCATTTCAGATTCAAGAAGAAGTTCGTCAATTATTGTGCCTTTTAACAAAAGACTGTACTCAAGATACTGAATTACTTTGCACTCTTCTAGTCGATAGAATAACTTTAGCATTGAAAGCTCAAGTTACTTTTTGTGATTTTTATCCGGGGGTAATAATTCTTTTCACTATTCATACTTGGTTACTTAATTCTGTTTGAACTGATATTTTGTGATCTTTTTTTCTTCTTTTTTATACACCTGTAAATAATTATTTTACAGGGTAATGAATTTTATTGCATTTTAAAAGTTACGTTATAACATAATTATTGAATTGTATTTTTCTCACTGAAGGTTCGTCATGAAATGGCATTATTAGCTGAATTGGTAGCTCAAGAAGACAACTGCTGGGAAATGAAATTGAGAACTGTGATGAAATTATTTATTTTGGGATGCAAGTAAGTTTAATTTTTTATTATAACTTAGTAAATTACTATAACCATTGTTAATATTATTGTAGTGAAACTCGTAGCCCAGCAGTAATGGAAGCAATCGTTTTGCCTTGTCTAAGAATATTACAGTCTGTGGTGTCACCAGCTCAACCTACTAGTCAACTGAATAAGGTTAGAAATGTAAAATTAATGTCATATCACAACTTTCTGCCAATTAATTAAATTTTATTTTTTGGGATATTTTGCTTGAAAATTAAATGTCATTCAGAAAACATTTATTTTTGTTCTAGTAATCATTGTGTCAGTGAGGGAAAATATGAATATAAAATTTTATTTTTATATATATATTAATATATATATATATATATATATATATATATATATATATATGTATGATTTAGTAGTTAATTTTGATGTTGAAATATATGAGTGAGTTCTTGAGGGCGATACATCAAACAAAGAAAAGCCAAAGATTTATAAAATAATCTTTATTTCTTTTTATACATGCCTCGGTACTAGCAAAGTACAGAAGTCGTGGCAGAAATTACATAATTCTACTTACATTTTTGTTCAATAAAACTATCATTTTTCTGTTTACATCATACAAAAAAATTATATAAAAAAATGCATAGTGCTGACAAGTTAGTTGTATAAATGTTAGTGCCAAATCTCTAGTGCTGTGTACACTTCTCTATATGTAACTAACCAACGTAATATCCACTGATGATGACATTAAATTGAATGTCGAAACGTTTGGAAATAAAGATTATTTTATAAATCTTTGGCTTTTCTTTGTTTGATGTATCGCCCTCAAGAACTCACTCATATATATGTATATATATATATATATATATATATATATATATATATATGTATATATAATAGGTTGTCAAATATCTCCCTTCCGCCTTTTTGTATTATAAACCAAGAGCAAAAAAGCGGAAGGGAGATATTTGACAACCTAATATATATATATATATATATATATATATATATATATATATATATATATATATATATTATGACTTTTATTGCAGAATAAAACACTGAGCAGCTTGTCCAGCATCTGCCCACCTGAGGGAATCACAATCAACTTAGACAAGTGGTTAAATAGTGACAACAATGAATCATTCTTAAGCTGGAAGCAGAAAATGCCTAAAAGATCACAAGTGGAAACTGCAAGTGATAAACAAAATCTTAATGAAACATCTGTAACCGATACCAAAGATCAAGATGATGTTCCAGTTGATAAAAATGCTTTAAAAAAGCAAACAAAAGAGAGATACCTTTTGGAAAAATATGCTTATAGATGGAGACATAAGGTTAGTGTTACATCCATCCATTCAGCAAAGATAGTTGTTAGTGAAAATAATTGTCTATGTTCATATTTCAAATGATTTAATTTTTTTTTAATGTATATGTAGATTCAAAGAATGCATGGATTAAGAGCACTTAATTTAGATGGAACTTGGTTGAAGCAAGTGTTGTTTAGTCCACGCTCTCGTTTGGCAAGGCAGGTTGCCTGTACAATTGTTCAATCGTTAAGTCAAACACATGAGAGACATAGAGAAATGTTATGTCTTCTAACAGGCTATCTTCAGGAAATTGGAAGATCCGGTAAAAGCAGTGATGAATTTTTAGGTTTGTTTATTTTTTATGTAATTATAATATATGAATATTGATATATACATACATACATGAATTTATAGTGTTGTTTGAAAACAAATCTTGGTTTTCTCGGATTAAAATCACATTTATTTTTTTTTTTTGAACTTATGAAGAAATTGAGTTGTTAATTTAATCTTTTAATGAATTCTTATTTTGCGAAATTGGTTGTCAGGTTCCTTTTTTCTGCTTACAGCATTATACAAGTCATTAATGGATGAGGCACCGTGGAAACAATTTCTTGCTTTAAAAGGTGTATTAATGCATTTGGCTGATTTATTAACAAAAGAAATACAAGATATACACCATCTTGAGGAAACAACTTTAACTGCAGATATTGCACAAGGCAAGTTATTAATAACTATAATCAAATATTTTTATTTTTGAACAATCATTGGTATTAGTTAACCATGATTGTGGTTGTTAGTCATATATAGGTGAAAATTTTGTTGTATTCAAAACTTGCTACTTTCAGGAAGAAGTAACTTCCTTTCTTTTTTATGGTGTTTATAATTTAGCTACCATTACCATTTGCTATATATTTATTAACAACCAGTTGCAATTTCTAGACAATGTTTTAGTATATCTTGCAAATGATTTAGTGAATTTCAAGTAATGCTTTTTCTTTTATATATATTAGGTTACGCTTTGAAACAAATCACCGAGTTATTATCATCTTTTCTTGAGGATACTTCTATACGACAAGCTTATAAAGGTAGGCTTGTCGGAGCAGTTTTAGGTGGATATCTTTCATTAAAAAGTTTAGTAGTACAAAGAACCAGGTTGATTGATGATACCCAAGAACAATTATTAGAGATGTTAGAAGAAATGACCACTGGAACCGAAGCTGAAACAAAATCCTTTATGTCTGTGTGCATGGAAACAGTAAATAAATATCCATTGATGGATGTTCGAACTCCTGTATTTATATTTGAAAGACTTTGCTCAATTATTTATCCAGAAGAAAATGATATTGGGGAATTTTTCTTATCTCTTGAGAAGGATCCTCAACAAGAAGACTTTTTACAGGTAAATTGATTACATATAATATATTTGAATTTAAAATAAATTGATAAAATGAATTGATTTATTGGTTCAATTATTAAATATATAAATGATTCAATTTAATATTTACCTTAAATGGGTGTCCGGAGTGAAGTGGTTGAAAACAATTCATTGTACATATACAGTCATTTAAGATTCCTTGTTTTTTATGACTGTTAGACAAGCATGAAATGAGTTAACTGTGTGTTATCAAATTAATAAAACATAAAGATAGCATAGATTCAATTTGATACTTCTTGTTAATTGTAAATTTTGTGATTGTATAAAACCAAATTCTGCAAAATGTCTGTTAACAATAATGACTCAACCCTGCTCTAAATAAAACTTTAAATATATCTTAAGTACAGTATATATTTACTATACGCTATTCCAGGCTCATAATAGACTGATACTGTTAATTTTCTCTAGAATTAGATCATTCTAACAAACCTATACTAGAATATAACATTTAGAATACATCTTAGATTCGTTTGACATTATTATGGGAAACACCTATATCTGATTCTTTGTCTTGTTTGTTAGCTTCACAAACTACTTAATATTTGTCTCAGATTTCAAATTAATCACTTCTTATTAGTATTAGATCCAAAGCAAAATTTTTGCAGCTTAACAATACCAATTGTGCTGATATGACATTTGATATACATATGTAATTACAATATTTTTTAGGGTCGCATGTTGGGTAATCCATATTCCAGTAATGAACCTGGTCTTGGACCATTAATGAGAGATGTTAAAAATAAAATTTGTCAAGATTGTGAATTAGTAGCATTATTAGAAGATGACAATGGTATGGAATTACTGGTCAACAACAAAATCATGAGTTTGGATCTTCCAGTGAAAGAAGTTTATAAAAAGGTAATAAATATTAATATAGTTATTATGTTTATACAATAACCCTTCAGTTAAAATATATAGTTCCTATTTAATTGTTTTTTAAATAACAGTAATGAATGGCGTTTTAATTGTACATTTTATCATAATATTACTTTACTATTAGATATTTTATGATATATCATTAATAATGATAATTACAATATTATAATAATAATGTTTATAAAATTCAACCCTCAAAGAATAAGGATGGCAATTGTTTTTATGTACAGGAATAATGTGAATATATTTTTTCATCACAATCAATTATTATATTAACTTTGTTGACTGTAGGTGTGGTTGGCTGAACAATGCGAAGGAGAATCAATGAGAGTTGTTTATAGAATGAGGGGTCTTCTTGGAGACGCTACTGAAGAATTTGTTGAAACACTCAGAGCAAAAACTCAACAATCAGTTGATAATGAAGAACTGTATAAAATGGCCAATGTACTTGCAGATTGTGGAGGATTACAGGTATTTTTGTTAAGATTATTAATGACTTTAATTAATGTGTGATAGGTTAATAAATTTATGAAAAATTATATACTGGCTCACAAAGTTCACTCAAGATTTGAGTAAAAACCCAAGCCTTTCTTTATAGGATTGATTTATATATACAATATGTTTCAATATTAACCTAAGATGTTGATGCTTAGAGGTTTCTGATAATTATACAAATTAATAAAAAATATAATGTTAATTCTATATATCTGATGCTGTATATGAGCGAATTCTACCCATGATATGGAATAGGTTGAATATTTTGAATAAGAAATCTGTTTTTTTTTTGTAGATTATGCTTGATAGGCTAAATGCTATTCAAAATGTTTCAAGGTCTAGACCACTTTTGCAAGTGCTACTTAAATTATTCAGATTATGTGTAAAAGTTAAAAAATGCCAAGAAGTATTATGCAGGCCGGATCTAAGTTCTGTATCCGTATTTTTGAAGGTGAGTAAGCCTAAATAAATAAATAAATAAATATACATAAATATATATGTATATGCATTTTTTTGTATACATCATAAAAAATAACTATTTAATGAAATAACCCAATTCATATAGGTCCTACAACTATGTCTGCAAAGTGAATCAGATTCACAGTTAGCATCTGTAACGGAACAATTACTTGATGTGAGTTGGCATTTTAATTAATTCATATACCAGGTTGCTAAAAAATTATTTTTTAACTCTTTTTATTTTTACTGTTACTCAATATGGATTTGTTTATGAACTCCCATTTTATCTAATAATACTCAACTAATCTTTTTTAGCACACATTCACTTTATATCTACTGTTATATTTAATATAATCTACATATTTTATATCTGACAGATTATGGAAACAATACTTTCTAAAGCCGCAAATGAATCACTAGCATCATTTTTGCAATTTTCATCAACATTTGGAGGCCCCGAATATGTGCAGGCATTATTATCGTGCACTAATAATTCATCTGTAAGAAACAATCCATCAGTTCTGAATCATCTTACAAGAGTTGTAGCAGCATTAGTTTATGGAAATGATATTAAAATGGCTTTATTGTGTGAACACTTTAAGAAATGTTTAGATTTCAATCAATTTGATTTTGAGCGAACGGCTGAAGATGAATTTAGATTAGAATTATTCTGTGTACTTTGTACTGGCATAGAGAAGAACTGCATAGGCGGTACTTTGAAAGATTACATAATATCTTTAGGAATGGTCAAAAATGCATTAGAGTATATTACAGTAAGTATAAATTATAATTTAATTTGTATTTATCTATTTAAATGCTAAATGTTTTAATTGTTGACAGATGCACGCTCCTTGTGTTAAACCTACATTGTTAAGAACAGATTCAGATGAATTGAAAGAATTTATTTCTAAGCCTGCTTTGAAATATATTTTAAGATTTTTAACAGGATTAGCTACTGAACATGAAGCTGCACAGGTATTTTAATAAAGTAATATTCAATTTATTTTTGTTTTAATAAACACTATGTTTGAAATTGATAAGATTTATTAGTTATTAAAACACTCTTTAAATGTGACATTGAAAAAATTGAAATTTATGTCCATCCAGTCATTGTTTGCATTCAACTCCGATACATTTAAACATTTTTTTCGACAGATTGGTATGTTAAATATACATGTCTTATTTATTATAACAAGTTTGTATAATTCACATACACATGTCTATACTATTCTTATTTTCCCTTTGAATATATTTTAGATACTGATATCTCAAGATATAATTCCCATAATACACAGACTTGAACAAGTGTCTTCAGATGAGCATGTTGGATCGTTAGCAGAAAATCTTCTTGAAGCCTTGAGAACAGATCCTGCGACTGCAGCGAGAGTACAACAAGTAAGAATTTTATTGTTATATACACAATTGATTTCATCTACTCGAAATTTATTAGCATATTAAAATATCATAAGTTACCATTTTGTAATATTAACTTATGTTCGTATTGTTTTTATATTTATAATGATTCAAGTATTTTATAAAGTATATCAAATACTGTTATTGAGTTTTTTTCATTCAGACAACATTTGCTTGATTTATAATCTAAAACGTTTGATTAAAGGTTCGTGATTTTACAAGAGCAGAGAAGAAAAGATTAGCAATGGCTATGAGAGAGAAACAACTTGGAGCTATGGGCATGAGAACAAATGATAAAGGCCAGGTAGACAATATCAACAAAAATATTAGTGTTATTGATTCTAAGTTTATATGTATATATTTTTTGTTATTTAATTAAAATGAATTAGGTTACGGCTAAATCTACAATACTGCAGCAAATGGAAGATCTAGGCGAGGAAACTGGTTTAGTTTGTGTAATTTGTAGAGAAGGGTACAAATGCCAGCCAACAAAAGTTTTAGGTGTATATACCTTCAGCAAAAGATGTAATGTTGAAGAATATGATTCTAAGGCAAGATGGACGATGGGATATACTACTGTCACACATTTCAATGTTGTGCATTTTGAATGTCATATGAGTGCAGTTAGGTAAATAATCCAATCTTCGCTTTCAAATCGTTCATATTTATTTTTTTTATTATTCTGTATGTACATATATTACATAATCAATAACGAAGCAAGTATTGATTGATTAGTGATGTAAAATCATCTATTTTGAATACGTAAAACGTTCCGCAGCATTTTAATATATTTGTTATTAATTATTTGTATATATGCGTATATCAATTGATTGAATTACATTTGCTTTGTTCTGTTTAATATACACTTTATATTTTTAGATTGGCTAGAGCAAGAGATGAGTGGGAAAGTGCTGGCTTACAAAATGCTAACACGAGATGTAATGGTTTGTTGCCATTGTGGGGAATGCAAGTTCCCGAACTAGCATTTGCCAGCAGTCTTGCCAGACATGACACATATTTGCAGGTATGGTCTGCTATTGATAGTGTATTTTTTTTAACTTCCCGAAGGAGAAGTTTATGTTTTCATAAAAAAATCCAATTCGCTAATTTTGTTTTCTCGACGAATCGAATTAGACCAGATTTTCAAAAAGTATGTGTGTGTGTGGGTGTGCGTGAACAGATTTTTTCAACTAAATCGACGTTTTCCCAAAACGGCTGTTTCGATTTCAAAAATTTAAGAGTATCTCAGTGAGGACTAGCGTTTATCAATTTTGTGCGACGATCGGCTAACCGTTTCTTCGAAAATAGCAGAAAAGTGAAAATTTTTTCGTCCACGTTTTAGCTCGCAATTCAGAATCTATTTTGAAAATTCAAAAATCGTTCGTAAGATAATGGTTGGGAATCGACCTGATTAGTTTTTGGTAAAGATCGGCCGGGCCGTTTTCTTGTAATAAAGTGTTAATTTTTTTTTTTGACGATTTTTATGATTTTTTTTTGTCATAGATATCATCTTCTAGATCATACTAAAATATTACGGCCCTCCGACAAGTCGTTTAATTTTGAAAATTCGTCAAAGTTTGCAAAAATTAGTAACGTTTTTTTGGCGTTTGTCAAAATTAGACCTTTCATCGACGTTTGCTCAAAAACGCCTGAACCGATTTCAGAAATTTAAAAGCCATTTAATGTATTTAGATGAGGATTATCGTTTGTCAGTTCTGTGCGACGATCTGCCGAGCCGTTTCTTTGTAATTTGGAAAAAAGTGTTGAAATTTTCGTCCACATTTAAGCTCCACTACTGAATCGATTTAACCCTTTCGACTCGGATGCCGCCGCTCCGGCGGCAAATCGTGTCGGCGACGACTCGTCGCAAACTACACTTACATTTAATTTTTTTTTATTTTTAAAAATTAATTTACTATTACATTCATTTATTGATTGATTTATTAATTTTATAAATAAATATATAACAAAATTAATTTATTAGCTCATGATCCCCATAATTCTAATAAAGATCTGAGAAGAAATGATTTTTTAAACAATATAGCATGGTTTTGAGTGCAATTTTTTTTAATTTTCAAAATTTTCTATTTTATTATCATAATAACTATATTTAAAAGCAATATAACCACATTTTGAAAAAATCCGATACAAAAAAAAATTCCGAGTTGAGAGATAAGTATAGCACTATAATATTCCGAGCGCAGCGTACCGACTGGCAGTCCGACTCCCGAGTCGAAAGTGTTAAAAATCGATACTAAGTTGGGTATGATACTGGTTAGTTTTAGGTGAAAATTTACCGAGCCATTTTCTTGTAATTAACAGTTGAAAAAAAAATTTAAGCCGATTTTTATGGAACTTTTTTTGGCGATTATATCATGGTCTTATAGAACTTACTGAAATATTACGGCCTTACGACAAGTAGTTTAATTTTTAAAATCCATCAAAGTTTGAGAAAATGAGTAGTTTTTTTTTTAAGTTTGTTAAACTTAAAATTAGATGATTTACTTGGTATAACGATAAAGTACTTGGTTTTGATGAACATACTAGACCATTAAGTCCTAAGGGAACTGGTTCAATTATGTGTAATAAATCCACTTGGAATACTTTTAATCACTCATAAGTTAATTAATTTTTTATTGGTTAAGTTGATTATTTACGCATATCGGGAAGTTCATGTAACTTGCTTCAAGGCAAAATACCAATACCAACTAGTTAGATTTCTTTTATGTATATATACACTTATGTAATTTGAGACATTTTTATCAACAAATGCCCAAATTCATATTTTGAACTCAAACTACATCATTATGTGATACAAATACAGATAGAATCTAGAAAATTTTAATAATTTTAATAATTTTCAAGTTATTATTTTTATATTTCAGGAAAGCACAGGACATCGTGATATTGGTTACTCTTCAACTATTCATGACTTAAAATTGCTGCTCTTGCGGTTTGCCCCAGAAAAAAGTTTTCACGAAGATGCTGGTGGAGGTGGTCCACAATCAAACATGCATTTGGTCCCATATCTTATTCACATGGCTTTATGTGTTAAACACGTAAGTTTAGAATAGTTTTAAATGTAATGTGAATTATTAGAATAATTAAAACTATTCAAAATGTATATTTTTAACTTTCCAAAGAAGTATGTTTCCGCAAAAGAATCCGATTTTTTAATTTTAAATTAAAAAATTAATTTCTCGACGTTGAAGTTTTCTTCTCGACGTTGAAATTTTTTTCTCGACGTTTCAAGCTATTCTGAATCGATTGAGATCAAATTGGTAAAAGTTGTTATATGTGTGTGTATGTGAGTCGATCTTTTATCTTTCGTCAAAGTTTTCTCAAAAGCGGCTAGAACGACTTCAAAATTTAAAAACTATTCAATGTAACTAGGTAAGGCAATGGTTTCCAAAGTTTTTGTACCGCACCCCTGAAAATTTTGAAATTTGCTTGAACCGTATAAATAAACTTTAAAAATTAACAATCTTGGTATGGAACCCACAAAAATTGTAACAAAATTAGTACTCATTTTTAAACATTTTTATCAAATATCAGATAATTTGATGTGCATATGTCTAATGATCATTTTTGGCCGCCAAATATCTTTTTTTTTTTACTTTTTTCTGTGTATCTCCAAACCCGCTTAACCTGCCTTACCAAAATTTCACTAATTCTTCATTTAGTGAATACAAGTAACATGTTTTTTGAATCATTCAAATCGGGTACTCCGTTCTCTCAAAAACGACTGGACCTGTTTCTACAAAAAACTAATCAGCACGTCTTCTCATCAATAGGAATCGAATGTTTTTTGAATAATTCAAATCGGTTGATTTGTGCGCCCGAAATCGTGGGCGGAAAAATTAAAACATACTCACACACACATACATACATTTTTGTAAGCTATGCCAAAATGTTCAGAAACCTTCAAAACGTGAAGATATGCAAAAATGTTCATTTTTTTTTTTGCGATTACTATAACTTACCCTGCGAGATTGATTATATTATTGCTCATTGATTTATATTGCTATTTTATTATTCAAATGATCTTTATCTCAGAACACGGACAGCTGGTCGGGAGGAAAAATCTTTAGTGACTTACCTTGACACATCAATGGGTGAAAGATGCATAGAGAGTGCTCACGAGGCAGAGGGTCCTTTATATTCAGCCACTATGTCATTGCATATTCATTCTGGACGACGATGGAAGCGACATAGATTGACCCATTTACGAAGGCTAATTGTAATACATTCTTTTGGTTTTTACTTTATCGTTTTATGAAAATATTTTTATTGGAAGTAATTAAAATTGCAAATACATCTTTCTTAATTCCTAAAAGATATTTTAGATATCAAAGATATATACCAGGCACTTCTGTCTGTCTGAGATGTATAGATTTATATTAAAATTCAAAAAAAAAAA